ACCACTGAGCCACCTGGGCTGCCCAGAACTTGCTAATTATGTATGTTGAAAATTAAGTGTATTTATGAAAGTGATGGAGAGCACATAGCTTCCAAGCCAATGGAGTTGAGGGAAAGGGGAATAAATGACTTGATCCATCCAGGAGAGGACAGAAAGGGAGGCAAAAAGAGGCACAGAGTAAAAACAGGGACTCCTGGGTGGTCGGTGGTTGAGCTTCTGCCTTCAGGTCAGGTCATGATCGTGGGATCCTTGGATCGAGTCCCACATCGAGCTTCCTGCATGGAGCCTGCTTCTCCCTCTGCCTGTGTCTCTGCCCCACCCCCGTGTCTCTCATGAATAAATAAATAAAATCTTAAAAAAAAAGACAAAAGAAGATAATAAAGATCCATTAAAACATCTCATCAATCACAATAAACACACCGTTAGAGGTTGAAAACTGTAAGATTGATTTATACAAAAAAGACTTTAGCTACACGGACTATATATCAGAAGCATACCTAAGATATAAGGAAAAGAATGGAAAAAGACAAATGATGTCCATACTCAGAAAAAGAGCTGTAGTAGATTACTTACTAGAAAAACCAAAATTAAGGCAAAGGCATTATTAGGGATAAAGAGGGGGTACTGTTAAATGACAAAAGGAATAATTTATCATGAAGCTATAATAATCCTACACTTCTTAGCACTTCAAAACCAAGTCTCAAAACATATAAAACCCAAACTGGCAAATTTCATGGAGAGATTGCTAAAACCAGTATCGCAGTAGTGGGATTTAACCCACCTCTTCTGGTAATTTATAAATCGAGTAGATGCAAAATTAGAAAAGGCATAGAATATTTGAATAATATAGTTAACAAGCTTGATACAATGGAGATCATATCTATCTATCTATCTATTATCTATCATCTCCGAACAATTCCTATAGAACAGATGGAAAACTTTCACAGAAATAGGCCATGTACATGCTACAAAGAAAGTCTTCACAGAATCCCAAAAGATCAGTATTTATGCAGACTACCTCCTCTGACCGTAATGCAATAAAATAAGAAATCAGTAACTAATGGTTAGTCCTCCCTCCAAAAAAAATCTAGTATACATTGGAACATGTAAATAAGCATACTTTCAGCAATTCCCAAGCCAAAAAAACTTGATATTAGAAAATCAGAACAATGTAAAATTAAAAATCCTACTTATCAAGATTTCAGGGACATAACTAAAGTGGCACTTGGAAAGGTATAGCTTTAAACACTTACTGTCAGAAAAGAGAAAGACTAAAAATTGGATTAAATATCCAACTCAAGAAATTACAAAAAGAATCATAACACAATAAAGAAGTAGAGATAGAACAGAATAAAACAAAATAGAAAATACAGATGATTAGCAAAATTAAAAGTTGATTCTTTACAAGTGGTTTTATTCCCTGAAAAGTGAAACTTGACGAATCAGACTCAGGATGATAGATATCAAATAAGTAGAAGCAATAAAAACTCTAACCACAAAAGATACACCAGGCCCAGACAGTTTTCCAGTCAACTGGACGTCCAAGGATCCCCACCTCCCACATTTGCTCTGGAGTATGGGCGGGGATCTCATCTGGAAGGAAATGGAGTGAGAAGAGCCGGCAGGGTGCAGATTTGGTTCATCCACTCGGCGACACGTGGAGCGGTGGCCCCTGGGCCGCAGACTGTCAGGGACCCCTGGGGAGCCTTGTTCTTGTGGGGTAAGACGGACACTGGACAATAATTGGCACGTCAAGTGTGGAGTAGGTGAGAGTAGGTGCTGCGGGAGGGGGTGAGGTGGACATAGCAGCCTGTGGAGAAGCGCTGCCAGGCCAGTAGAGGGCTGAGAATACGGGCCCAACCGAGGTCAAGGAAACCTGGGCGGTGGGACAGCCAGGAGAAGCCCTCAGGGGCACAGGGTTGGGATGAGGGGCAGGAAGTGGGCCCCAGGAGTGTCAGGGAGGGAGGGGCAATAAAAGGGAGTGAAAGGTGGCAAAAAACTTTGCCAGGAGAGGAGCCCGCCACAAGGGCCAGGAGGGTGTGGGCCTCGGATGCTGGACCGTGAAGGTGCATCAGATGATGGAGGTTTGGGAAACCAAGGAGGGAGGGGGCGCAGTGTGGGCTGGGGTGAGGGGAGGCTGTGGTGAGGCCAGGGCCTCTATGGGGGCCGCGGCCTGGGGGTAGCTGCGTGGTTGTGGGATGTGCCAGGCACTCTTGGGGGTGCTTTGCCCACATGAAATCCCCAAGGCCCTATGAGGCCCGTATGCGTCTGAATATGTGTGGTGGGAGAAAGTGGGAAAGAAGCAGGGATGGTGAGAAAGATCCTTCTGGAATCTTGGCCTGGATGGAAGGAGTGGGAAGCAGAGGGCCCTGGGTCTGGCAGAGGGAGGTGGGTGCTGGCAGGCAAAGGGGGGCCCTGCCTGGGAGCTGGAGTCTGCTGGACCAGGGGGCAGCTTGGGATTTATAGGGGGGGTGGTGAGGGGCCAAGTTCTTTTATTCTCAACAAAATAAAGGGCAAAGACACCCACTATCCTTCGGCTCGGTCCTCTGTAAACCCACCGTGCTGCGGGGATGGAAGGACGTAATGTGGGTAAAGTGCTTCTGGGTTCTGTTATTTTTGCTGTTTGCTGGGGTGGTGGTGGAGCTGGGGAATGTGCAGGCTGGGAATTCACTCATTATGTGCCCGTCCCCTGTGCCAGGCACTTTGTGGAACCAGTTCGGAACTGAGCGAGGCCCTGGTACCTCCCTGGGCAGTGCCAGCCCCGCAGAGCCTGGGGACCATAATCGGTTGACTGCCCATCAACAATATATGAGATTTTTCTCCCCAAAGGTTTTAAGGCTGCAGTGCAGGGCCGGAGTGGGACTCACCCAGGGCAGTAGGTTGGTAGGGGGAGGCCTGGAAGGCTGACTGGGCTCCCCTGAGGTCCAGGCTGGGTGGGCAGGTTGGTAGGACTGGTGCAGAGCTCTGAGCTGCCCGGACGGGTGCTGAGGAGATGGGCAGCCTCTTTCCTTCTTCCACCATGAACCAAGGGCTCTGGTGAGCGTGTTGGAAGCCTAGCAGCCAGCCACAGTAGGATCAGAGGCTGGGAGTAAAGGCAGGTGGGGGCTGGGGGGGCAGGAACTGTGGGCCTACTGGCTCGATGGGGGCTGGGGACAGGAAGCTAGCAGAGACAGGAGAGGGGCTAGGAGCACTCGTTTCCTCTCTCTAGGGCTGGGCCGCAGGAAAGCCAACCCTCGTGCTTCCCAAGGTGCTTCCTGCAGATAAAGTGGCCTCTGACAGGCTCCTTCCTGCTCCCCCCTTTCCCCATCCCTCCCATCCTGCCTCAATCCCCAGGGAACCCTCAGCTCCCCCAATCTGGCCAGCCCAGTGGCCTTGGGAAGAGTCTGGACAAGGGGGTGGGAGGTCTGGGCATTCTGGGGCCACGCTTCCGGGTAGGGAGGGTCCGCCCAGGCTTGAGGAGAAGGCAGGACCAGACCCACAGACTGCGCTGGAGACTCGGCTCTGTGGGGTCAGTGGAGTCCTGGGAAGTAGAGATTTTTTTCCTAAAGTAGCAGATGGAAGAAGAGAGAGCCAGGGGTTCCTTCAGGGCTTAGGGCCGGGCCCTGGGAAGAGGGCCTTGCTCTGGGGGCAGAGGGGTGGGTATTGGCGGGGAGGGGGCTTGGTGGTGGGCAGGTAGTGGTCAAGGTGGCTCTGGGAGGGGGGATCTGTTCTTGGAGGGGGTGCCAAGTACTTTTCGTGGGGGGTTAGGGTGTTTCCGGTTGTCATGGGGGAGGATTAGGGAGGTTCTCTGTGTGTGTAGGGGGTTCATTTAGGTTTATTCCTGGGAGCCTTGGGGATCCGAGGCTGTTCTTGGAGGAGGTTGGGTGAGGCTGGGGGGCCCAGGGACTGTTTCTACCAGGGACTTGAGCGTGTGCCCACGCTTGGTTGCTCTGTGAACGTGGTCAGGTGTGTCCAGTGAGAAGGTGAGCTGCTGGCTAGGGGGTCAGGGCCTGGTGTTCTGGGGCGCTTCACGCATGTTGGGGAGTTCTGCAGGAGTCCAGGGCTATTACCGCATTCCACTGCGGCTCTTTGCTCTCAAGTCTTGGGGGCCCAAGTCTGGCAGCCCCGGGTAGTCCTGTGAGGCTTACCAGGGCTGGGGGGCGGTGGCGGGCTCCGCGGGGCGGCGGTGCCTGAGCTAGTTTCTTTACTGTGCTCCCCTGTTCTCCGCCCACTCATCACCCCCTCCCGCGTTGCTACGACAACGTGTAAAACTAAAATTCACTTCCCCGTTGCAGGTGGAGACTAGTAGCGCCCCCTCCCCTAAGCCTGTCCTCCTAGGTCGTGCCCCCATCCTGTCGTCGCTAAGGTGACGGGGAGGGGGCGACAGGGCCTGGGTCTAGGCAGAGCAGGAGGCCTGGTGGGGGGGGGCTTGGAGTCCAGGGCGAAGTCGCCGAAGTCGGCTGGGGGAGCCGGGGGCCGCGCGAGGCTCCGTGCAGGGTGGTCTGGGGGTGAAGTCGGGGGGGGCGCCCCTGGGCCTCCGTGACCCGGGGTCTCCGCGCCGCCCCGGGACCGGGCAGGGCTGGTCACCGTCACTCCCCGCCCCCCCTCCCCCGGCCCGGCCCTGAGTGCGGGGGGGAGGTGGGTAGAATGGGGGAGAAGCTGCCACCTCCGGAAATTAATTCTCCTGTTTTTCTCTCCCCTCCCCGCCCTCTCTGCGGCCCTCGCGCCCCACGCGGACCCCACCGCAGCCCCGGGACCCCCGCCGCGCGCACCCCTGCTCCGTGGTCCTCGGATGCTCGCGCGCGGCCACTCCCCCCGCGCCGAGGCCTAGGGCTCCCCGCGCCCCTAGCGCGGCCCCCGGGGCCCCCGCCCTGTGGGGCGGCCCAGGCCCCCGGCCCCCGGCGCCAGCGTGGCCCCTCCCGCCCCGGGACCCCGGCCGCCCCGCGCGCTCCCCCCGCCGCCGGCGCAGCCCCCCGGCCGCCCCCGCTTCCCTCCCGGCGCGGCCCCCTCCCCCCGCCGCCCCCGCCCCCGGGGAAGGCAGGCGCCGCGTTGAGCCGGGGCCGATGCAGCTGAGCCGCGCCGCCGCCGCCGCCGCCGCCGCCGCCCCTGCGCAGCCCTCGGCTCAGCTGCCCCCCGCGCCCGCCCCGGCCCCGGCCCCCCCCGGCCCCCTCCCGCGCGGCGCGGCCGACGGGGCTCCGGCGGGGGGGCAGGGGGGGCCGGGGCGCCGCGCGGAGCCCCAGCGCGCCCCGCTCCCGGCCGCGAGCCGCCCGGGCTCCGGCCCGGGTGCCGGCGCGGGGATGGACGGCCCCGGGGCCAGCGCGGTGGTCGTACGCGTCGGCATCCCGGACCTGCAGCAGACGGTGAGCCCCACGCCCCGTGCCGGGACCCCCGCGCCCCGGGACCCGCGCCCCTCCCCCGCCGCCCCCGCCGAGACCCTCCCCAGCGGCCGGGCGGGGGCGGGGCCGGGGAAGCGCCGCCCCGGGGCGGGTTCGGGGGTCCGGGGTCCCGGGGGTCCGGGGGTCCCGTGGGGCGCGCTCACGGGCCCGCTCCGCCGCAGAAGTGCCTGCGTCTGGACCCGGCCGCGCCCGTGTGGGCCGCCAAGCAGCGCGTGCTGTGCGCCCTCAGCCACAGCCTCCAGGACGCGCTCAACTACGGGCTCTTCCAGCCGCCCTCGCGGGGCCGCGCCGGCAAGTTCCTGGACGAGGAGCGGCTCCTGCAGGACTACCCGCCCAACCTGGACACGCCCCTGCCCTACCTGGAGGTGAGCGCGGGGCCCGGGGCGCGGGTGCGGGGACCCCAGGGGCCGTGCCGCGCCCCAGCGCACCCAGCGCCTCGCCTGAACGCGCGTCGCCCCCTCCCCCGCCGGCACCCCGACTCTCGCCGGCTCACCCATTCATAGCGAAAAGGATGCGGGGCGCACTGTCGGGCGTGGGGACCCAGCTCGTAGTCCGGGTGGCGGCGGCGAGGGCGCTAAGCACCCCCCCCAAGCATGACGGAGGCCGAGCCCAGAGTCGGCCTGGACCCCGGCGGCGCAGGGACACCGGGTTCCGCTCAGGGCAAGTCTGGGAGGGAAGCCTGCAATCGGGCCTTGGAAGAGGAGCAGCTTTTTCCAGGGAATCCTGGGGATGGGGACAACCGAGAAAGGGAGCTGCAGGTTCCAGAACAGCAGGCCAACGTCCCGTGTGAGCGCAGCCTATGCCGTGTGCCCACGGCAGTGTGAGGCCCGCCAAGCAGGGCTTGGTTGGGGTTGTCGTGCGCTCCCTCAGCCCAGGGTGCGCCCTTTCTCTGCCTTCCCTTTACCTGAGCAGTTTCGATACAAGAGGCGAGTGTACGCGCAGAACCTCATCGATGATAAGCAGTTTGCAAAGCTTCACACAAAGGTAAGGAGGAAGCCGCAGAGGAGGGACCCCAGAGGTTGCCACCTGGCCCCACCTGGCCCCCGTGGGCGGTGTTCCCTTAAGCCCACACTTCACTGGATTTTGTGATGTCAAAAATGCCCTTGAAAAATTCCTAAGAGCCCTCCCTCTTCTCGCAGTACCCCACTGCGGCTTGGGGCTGACTACAGTCCCGCCAGCTTGGCTTCATCTGTTCTCTCTCTCGTGTCACGGGCCCAGAGCAGGTGTTGGGTCAGCTGGAGGGCTGGGTGCAGACTCTAGCACCGTGCTCGTTGTGGCCATGGTCTGCTGATGGGTTCCAGTCAGCCTAGATTCTGGCTCACCACCTCTGGCCTGGGGGGGGGCGGTGGGTGGGTGGGTGGTGGGTATGATAGGGCGTGGTGTCTTGGGGAGATCCCGGGTGGAATGGAAGTGAACAAGCACCTGATGTTGTCATTGGGGGGAGCTGGGATGGCGTGGGAAGAACAAGGAGCCTAGCCCTTAGCGGTCAGCCAACTGGGCACACTCATACTTAGGCATCTAGTTAGTTTTCTCCTGGGAGGGACTTTTATTGTTCCATTTTCCAAATGGAGGTACTGAGTCCCAGAGAAGTTATGTGACTTGCTCCCAGGTGCGCAGCCAGTGAAACTGGAACTGAATCCAGATGTGCCTGACTCTGGGGTCCTGTGCCTAGGCACACCTACTGAGCACCATTGCTAGGTGGGCCTGGCCCCAAATGTTCTTTGGGGGCTGCCTCACTGCCTTCTTGGAGTGTAGGAGAGGCAGTGTGGGTGCCACAGCCGCTACCCACAGTCAGAGTTCCTCCGGTTCCACCTCGGGCTCTAGTGACCAGTGGACATCTGCTTGCTAGACACGTCATTGACAATCTCTGGAGCGTGTCTCCTTCTCCAGGAGAAGGATCTGAGCACTGTCACCTCTGGGCCCCAGTGACCCCCTCTGTGACCCTGGAAACTCCATGCGAGGTGGGGCGCGTGGGGATCAAGGCCATGACTGGGGCTGGGCCGAGACGGTGCCTTCTCTCTCCTCTTGCCCCCGTGTGACCCTGTCACTCTGGGTTCCTCCCAAAGTGGTTACCTCTTCTCTAAAACCATCCTGAGCACCTCACAGGACCCTGGTGACACTGCTGACTAGTGACTTCCAGTGGGTCCACTTGTTTTTCGATCACGTTGAACTCCTTACCCTAGCCCCGTGTTTCTGCCTCCTGGACGCTAACCAGCCCCCAGCGTCACAGCATCCACTTGGGGTCTGGCTGAGGTCTCTCCCCTGTCATGAGCACCCTTCCTCCTGTTTGACTGTCCAGACCCGCCTTCGGGGGCCACATCCGTGGAGCGGTTCCCATGGTGCCCTCCTATTTCTGATGCAATCTGAGTGTTTTTAGAAGCCAGGGCACCTTGCCTCGGGCGTGCAGCATCTGTAGCACCAGCCTCAGTGAGGCTTTGCTCAGTGAATGAACGCACGACTAGGTCAGTGAGTGAGAGGCAGGCCAAGTCCTGTCACGGGAGGGGCCGCCTATGGGCGAGGAGGGGCCTCGGGGGGTCTGCCTTGGGGTGATCTCGTGAGGAAGAGGGAATGGACCACCTTGGGTAGGGTCGCTGGGGTGATGAGGATGTGGGCTGTGGCGGGGCCGCGGCTCCTGCCTGGGTGCCTCGGGCTCTTCCGGTTTGGGCAGGTTGGCCGAGGAGGGGAGCCAGAGCAGTGGCTGAGCCTGGGGTAGGAAGCCCTTGCATGGGGGCGTGATCAGGGCAACCTGGCCTTGATGAGGGGCTGGATGGGCCGGGGATCCGGGCAAGTACTTCAGGCAGCCCATGGGCCCGCTGAGCTGAGGTCGGGCCCGTGGGAGTCCAGGGCTTAAGGTGATATGAGGGGGCGACCAGGTCATGATGCAGAGTGACGGGTGTGAGGAGGTGGGATAGTCGATGCCTCTGTAGGGTGACAGGTGGCCTGAGGCTTCTGGTGGAAGGTGGGTGACACTTAGACGATCGGAGCCGTGGTGCTCGGCTGACCCGGATGGCTGGGTGTTCCAGGCAAACCTGAAGAAGTTCATGGATTACGTCCAGCTGCACAGCACGGACAAGGTGGCCCGCCTACTGGACAAGGGGCTGGACCCCAATTTCCACGATCCTGACTCAGGAGGTGAGAAGCAGAGCGGGGAGGGGCATGGCCCTGGAGTGGTGGTTGGGACCTTAACCTTCATCTGTCTCCCGAACCCAGAGTGTCCTCTGAGCCTTGCGGCCCAGCTGGACAACGCCACAGACCTGCTGAAGGTGCTGAGGAATGGCGGCGCCCACCTGGACTTCCGCACTCGCGACGGGCTCACGGCCGTGCACTGTGCCACCCGCCGGCGCAACGCGGCAGCCTTGACGGTCAGTGTGGGTGCGGCGCCCGCCTGGGAGGCGCGGGGGCAGGGCGGAGGCTGGGCCCCCGTGGACGCCGAGGCTCCTTGCCCTCAGACCCTGCTGGACCTGGGCGCCTCTCCTGACTACAAGGACAGCCGTGGCCTGACGCCCTTGTACCACAGCGCCCTGGGGGGCGGGGATGCCCTGTGCTGCGAGCTGCTGCTGCACGACCATGCTCAGCTGGGGACCACGGATGAGAACGGCTGGCAGGAGATCCACCAGGTGCGCCGGGAGTGTGGGGCACGGGCTGGGGGCTTCGCCTCTGCCTGGGCCCTGTCAGCCAGGGGTGGGGAGTCCTGGACGGCGTTCGGGGACCCAGGAGCACCTCCCTCACCCCGCAGGCGTGCCGCTTTGGGCATGTGCAGCACCTGGAGCATCTGCTATTCTACGGAGCTGACATGGGGGCTCAGAACGCCTCAGGGAACACGGCCCTGCACATCTGTGCCCTTTATAACCAGGTGTGACTATATGTGTCTGCACGCATGTGTGCTACGTCACAAGTGCCTGTTCTGTGTCCTGCTGTTGGCTATGGCCTTCTAGGCCGATGCGTGCACCTCTGTTCCCTGAGCGCACGTGTTTCACGTGTGTTCCAAACACCCAGGTGTAAATCACGCACTCTCTGGGCCAGGAGGGACCTACATGTGTTGTGTAGAGCTCATCCGCGCGTGCCCCTGTGTTGCGCATATGTACGCTGGACACGTGGGTGTGGATGCATGTGTTGTAGTGTGTGTGCGTGCCGTTGTGTCCTCACCGCACCCTTCCAGCTGCCCAGCTGTGACCCCCACTCCAACCGTCTCCGCAGGAGAGCTGTGCTCGCGTCCTGCTTTTCCGCGGAGCTAACAAGGACGTCCGCAATTACAACAGCCAGACAGCCTTCCAGGTATAAGAGTGGTTGACAGGAGGGTGAGGCTGACCCCTGGGGGTCTGTCTTTCTGGACCTTGGTTCTTCCCTGTAAGGCAAGAAGGGATCTCCCCCCAGGGTTGGCCCAGATAGAGGAGGGGGGGCCAGTGCAGCGCCCTGCTCATGGAGGGAGGGCTCACTGCGGATGATTCCCTTGTCTTCCATCCAGGGAGAGAGGAGGGTCATAGGACTCTGTCAGGGGACAACCAGTGTGGGCTTGACCTGCCAGAGACGGGTGGGGTACAGAGGCCAACCCAGGGGGGAGAGGATTGGTTCCAGTTCCTGACTTAACTTCAGGTGATGCTTCCTAGCTGGCTTTGGTTCATGGCGGTGGTGTGACCATGCCAAGAGTCACTGTATGCCTGGAGTTTGGGGATGGGGGAATAAAGACCATGTTCTGGGGACTTTTAGACCACAGAGGGAGCTGGGGTTCTGTTCTCAGTGGAAATGAGGGCCGTCTCCTCTGAGATGAGAGGAGAACAGGTAGGTCCTCTGTGGCTGTCCCGTCAGGGGGGCAGATGCGGCAGTAGAAGATCCTGGTGGGTTTGGGTGAATCTGGAAGGGCCAGTTGGGTGACTAGATGCAGGACTAAGGGAAGAGAAGGGAGGTGATGGGGGTGAGGCAGCGGTAGGCCACGGCTGAGGTAGGAGTGATGGTGCGTGTGGAGCGGCTGTTAGGAGAACCAGTGGGGTGACCATAGGCCTGGACTGTCCTGGTTTTAGCTCTGAAAGTCTCATATCCCAGGAAGCCGGTTAGTCCCGGGCAGAATGGGGCCAGGGTCTAAGCCTGGGGCACCCAAGCAAGGGAGACCCCACACAGGAGCCCCGTCAGGATGCATAGGAGCCGAGGGGGGAAGGTTTGGCGCCCCTGAACCCCACTTCTTCCCCTCCCCCTCAGGTGGCCATCATCGCAGGGAACTTTGAGCTCGCAGAGGTCATCAAGACCCATAAAGACTCAGATGTTGGTGAGTTCTGGCCAACCCAGGGCCCTGTTGGATGTGGATCTGTGGGGGTTGTCAGGGCCCCAGCAGGTACGGGGGGCTGTGGGGAGGGTGTCAGGGAGCCTCCACACCCTGAGCCTCACCCTCGCAGCTGTGCCTTGGTCAGCGGTCCATCAGTGGTCCTGATGGTAGGGGGCGTGTGCTGAGGGAGAGGCCCCTGTGGCATGAACAGAGGGCCCGAGTGAGGGCTGAAAGCATGGTTAGGGCAGGGCTGTGGGTTGGGGCCATTGTTGAATTTCGGGATCGACTTAGGTTGAGAGTGGGGTTGAAGTTAGGGTCAAGGCTCATTCCTGTTAGGTCATCTGAAGGGTCAGCGGGGCACATGGAGCAGTGGATCTCAGCCACTGACCCTCAGTGTGTCGCTCCTGTCTGGAGCAAGAGCCACTTTGCGTGGCCTGTGGCGTGCTTCAGTAGGATAAGCTCACGTAAACAAAACACAGTGGTGGGTGTACAAATGGAAAAGGAAAGAGCGACCTTCAGGGCACTGAGTCCTGAACCAGTGCACTGGGGGGAGCCCAGTGTGTGCCTGACTTGTGGTCCCAGAGGAAAACCAGGAGATGCCACTCGGTCTTGACCCTAGGGTGGGCAGGAAGGTGGGCACAGCCATCCCACTGGAGCCTCAAGGAGGCCGCCACCCACTGCTACAGCAGTGGTGGATGCGGGACCTGTCCTGGGAACCCGGGCTTCTCTCTCCCGTGTGAAGTGGGTGGAGCTAAGGCGACCCCTCTATCTAGTTGGCCGAGGAGGGGCTCCCTTCTTAGCTCCCTCTGTCCTGGGTAGACCACGTTTTTCTGCCCATGGTTCTCTCTGGAGCACAGACTCCTGGCTCCCGTTTCTGCCAGGGTTGCAGTGTCCTCATTAAAAAAAAAAAAAAAGAAAAAAAATTAAGTGACAGTGGGTAGCAAAGGACTAGGGCTGGTCTGTTGTGAGGTTAGGGTCAGGGCTGGGGTTGGATTTTGGACTAGGGTTAAGATTAAGGTCAAGTTCATGTTTCAGGACTCTTCCTCTGCAGAGTCTCTCCAGAACAGACTTCCTCCAGGGAGGCTTAGTTATGAGTCTCTCATGTCCCAGGAAGGCCAGGGGACCCTGATAATGGATCGGGTCTCCAAGGGGGGGGGGCACGCAGACGCTCCACAGCTGCAGCAGCTCCAGCACAGCTAGTCGCAGTAGGTACATGCTGAGTGGACGACTGAGCTAATGACTGGGCATAGGATTTGGGTCTAATTTCTGCTTGGGAGAGAACCATGGTAAGATTTGAGGTTTGATTTGGGGACAAAAGACAAGAGTGAGAGCTCAGGTATGGTCTGGTTGGGGCTGGTGAGTGTTTTGGAGGTGGTTGTTAGCCTGGGAGAGAACCCTGGTTTGTGGACATGTGGGATCCCCTCATCTTATGATTGTTCGACCATGGGAAAGCTGCTCAGGACCTCTGTGCCTCAGTTTCTCTTAAGTAAAATATGGTTATTTATGGTTATTTGTACATCTTTCTTTTCTCTGATCTCATGTGGGATTTGACTATGTGTCTTGACTCTGGCAGGTGACCTTGGTCCAACTGGTTGGTGGGAGGGGGGGGGGTGTCTGGTCCTGGCCAAGAGAGAGGAAGGCTCCAGCTGCTTGATGTGGACAGAGATGCTAGGCTCCTTGGGTCACCAGTTCTACAGTTTACTGTTTGGCTAAGGGTGTGCTTGCCAGGTTGGAGTTAGGCATGTCGTTGCTGAGCTGAGGTACAGAGCGGGCGTCCCTGTGTGGGCATTGGCTTTGTGGGCCACGTGCCCTAATCTGCTCAGGTTGTTGTGCATACGCTTGTGTGACATGGCCACATGTCCCTGGGCCACAGGTAATATACTCTTGAGTCTTTGCTGCTATAAGCCTTGTTATCTCTCTCGTTTACTCTCAGTAAACCCTCAAGGAGTGATTAGCATTAGTCCATTTTTATAAAGGGGGTTTAGGGCAGAGGCTGTCTTTGCACCTGTCCTTGTCACCCCTACTCCCTCTGCACGCCTTCACTCCAAGGACACTCCCTTGATGACAGTCACAAGTTGCCCTGTCTGTCCTCCCAGCTGGGGGACCTGGGTGGGTCTGCACACAGAAGAGCCGGAGGGGGTCTCTGCCCATCCATCCCCAGGAAGGGGGCCCTCGTGGGGGGTCTTGCCTTCCAGGGACAGGACCCCTGGAAGCCTGTTGGCAGCCCTCTCTAGACTGATAGGCCTGAGGCAGGGACCCTGGCCTAGGAGCAGCTACCTCTGCTTCTTCACCTCTGTTGCCTTGGGCTGACCCAGGGCCCCCAGTCGCTGTCGCCATCTCTCCCGCACGTGCTTTCAAGCAGCAGGTTCCCACGGACGTGCTGTCCCATCGTGCCCGAGGGAAAGTCTCCTCACACTGGACCCAGGGACCTTGTTGTAAATTCTGACTCAGTGGCTCTGGGTGGAGCCTGAGAGTCTGCATTTCCAATGAGTTTCAGCTACGAGGTGAGGCTGATGGTCCATGGCCCATGCTTCGCTAACAGGAATCTAGGGCTTGGCGAGTGAGGCCTTGCGGGCCCAATTCAGCCAACGATCTGCTGTTTTTTTTTTTTAATGGAGGCTTTAAAATTAAGGATTTATGTTTCATTTAGAGTTAAATTCACGTAACATAAAATTAATTACTTTAAGCTGAATAATTCAGTGGTATTTAATATATTCACAGTGTTATACATCCACATTTATTGAATTTCAAATATTTTCATCCCCCCAAAAGGAAGCCCTGCATACACGAAGTAATTATTCCACATTCTCTTCCCCTTTAGTCTCTGTCAACCCTTAACATACTTTCTCTCTATAGATTCCCCTGTTCTAGGTATTTCACATAAATAGAATCATACACTGTGTGACTCTTGGTGTCTGGCTTCTTTCACTCAGCTTGTTTTCAAGCTTCGTCTACATACATTGTAGGACGTATCACTACTTTGCTCTTTTGTATGGCTGAATAATATTCCATTGTTTGTATATATAAAATTTTGTTTATCCACATGTGCTTTAAGAGGACACTTGGGTTGTTTCTACCTTTCAGCTATTATGAATATTGCTGCTATGAACATGTGTGAAATGTATTTGTTTGAATACCTGTTTTCAGTTATTTGGGGTGTAAACTTAGGAGGGGAATTGTTGGGCCATATGATAATTTTATATTTAACTTTTTGAGAAACTGCCAAATTGTTTTTCACTATTTTACATTCCTACCCACAACGTACGAGAATTTCAAAGTCTTCAAATCTTTGCTAACACTTGTAATCATCAGTTTGGTTTATATTTCATTTTTAATTTTTTTTACTATGGCCATTCTAGTCAGTGTGAAGTAGTATCTCATTGTGGTTTTGGTTTGCCTTTCCCTAATGGCTAATGACATTGAGCATCTTTTCATGTGTTTATTGGCCATTTGTATATTTTCTTTGGCGAAATGTCAAGTCCTTTGCTTATTTTTCAATTGGTCATAGAATGAGTTAGGAAGTATTCTTCCCTCTTCTAGTTTTTGGAAGAATTTGAGAAGGATGGGTTTTAATTCTTAAGTGTTTTGGTAGAATTCACCAGTGAAGCTGTCTGGTGCTGGACTTGACTTTGTTGGGAGATTTGTGATTACTGATCCTTCTCTTTGCTTGTTACAGGTCTGTTTAGATTTTCTATTTCTTCTTGAGTCACTTTTCATAATCTCTGTTTTTCTAGAACTTTGTTCATCTCATCTAATGTATCTCATTTGTTGGCATACAGTTGTTTGCACTAATCTCTTTTAATCCTTTTTAATTCTATAAGATTGGTAACAATGCCACAGTTTCACTTCTGATTTTAGTTAGTGTCCCTCTTCTCTTTCTAAGTGAGTCTAGCTATAGGTTTGTCAGTTCTGTGGATATTTTCAAAGAACAACTTTTGTTTTTGTTGATTCTATATTTTGCTCTCTGTTTCATTTATCTTTGTCTATCCTTATTTCCTTCCTTCTGCTAGCTTTGGGTTTGGTTTGCTTCCCTTTTTCTAATTCCTTAAGAGGAGCACTTATGTTATTGATTTGAGAATTTTATTCTTTTTTTTTCTACAGATTGTTTATAGCTATGAATCTCCTTATTGGCACTGCTTTTGCTGCATCCCTTAAGTTTTGGCATATTTTTGTTTTTATTGTCTCAGGGTGTTTTCTAACTTCCTTCTGATTTGTTTTGGCACACTGGTTGTTTAAGAGTGTGTTGTTTAATTGTCACGTATTTGTGAATTTTTTAAGTTTTTGTTGTTGTTATTGTTCTTGAGTTTTAGTTTCATCCCATTGTGATTGGAAAAGATACTTTGTGTGATTTCAGTCATTTAAAAATTTATTGAGACTTGTTTTTGTGGCCTAACATATAGTCTATTCCTGGAAAATGTTGTATGTGCACTTGAGAATAATGTATATCCTGCTCTTGTTTTCTGTAGTGTTCTATATACATATCTGTTAGGTCTAATTGGTTCAAGTTTTCTATGTCCTTACTGATTGTCCCTCTCGATGTTCTACCCATTATTGAAAGTAGGGTGTTGAAGTCTTAAATACTATTATAGAACTGTCTATTTCTCCAAATGTGTTAATGTTTATTTCACATATTTTGATGCTCTGTTGTTTGGTGTATATATGTTAATAATTGTTAATATATTTGATGAATTAACACTTTTATCAACATACAATGTCCTGTGTCTCTTTTAACACTTTTTAAGTCTGTTTTGTCTGATATAAATATAGCTACTTAGCTCTCCTGGTTACTATTTACATGAAATATCTTCCTTTATTCTTTTATTTTAAACCTGCTTGTGGCTTTGGATCCAAAGTGATTCTTTTGTAAATAGCATATATATTTGGATCATGTTTTTTAATCACCATCTGCTTTTTAAATAAAGTTTTATTGGAACTCAGCCACACCCATTTGCTTATATATTGTCTGTGGCTGTTTCTGTGCTACAGCAGCAGCGTTGAATCCTTAGGACAGAGGCTATATAGCTTGCAAAGTCTGAAATAGTTACTATCTGATTCTTTACAGAAGTTTGCCAAACCGTGATCTAGAACATCCTTTACGGTTTCCCTCGTTATAGTCAACTATAGATGGTCCAGTACAGCAGTAGCCTGGTGAGATTTGTCGCATGTGGCCTGTTCTGTCTCTGCCGAAGCCTGTGAAATGGGCAGTTCCAAGAGCAGATCTGAGCATGCCCAAGACCTCATTTGCCTGACAGGAGGAGCAGCCTTCTGCCCCTGAAGCTTATGTTAGAGGCAGTTTGGGATGTGACCCCCAGTGGTAGCTTCAGTCATAAGCTAACCCAGGACTGAGGCAGTTCCTGGGATATAGGATTTTAGTTTTAAAATCTGGAAAGCAAACCAGAGTAAGTTGAGAGTAAGAGCCTTATCTGGCTGCCCAGAATCTCATCTGTACCCCCCCATTCCCACCCCAGTACCATTCAGGGAAACCCCCAGTTATGCAAAGCGGCGGCGGCTGGCTGGCCCCAGTGGCCTGGCCTCCCCTCGGCCCCTGCAGCGCTCAGCCAGTGACATCAACCTGAAGGGTGAGGTGCAACCGGCAGCTTCTCCTGGACCTTCTCTGCGAAGCCTTCCCCATCAGCTGCTGCTCCAGCGGCTGCAGGAGGAGAAAGACCGGGATCGGGATGGTGACCAAGAAAATGACATCGGTGGCCCCACAGCAGGCAGGGGCAGCCAGAGCAAGATCAGGTAGGAGGGCTCTGGGAGGCCCTGGCAGGGTCTGGGTGGGTGGGGTGGGGGCACCCAAGCAGAGGAGCCAGCATGAAGAGGCAGGGAGAGACCTAGTGGTGCCTGGCACCTCCACAATGATGGGCTGAAGCTTGGGGTGGGGGGCTCCCAGGCCACCCTGACAGGCCTCCCTGGATGGGAAGGGAAAGAAGGTGAGGCCCTGTTGGCTGGGACAGGCTCCCCTGTGCCGATCGGGTGGGAGCTGGACTTGCCCCGAGGGGAGCTCAGGGAGGACGTTGGAGGAGAGGATTTGGCCAGCGCTGTGCTTTATGGAGGTGCCTGCATTGCTAGGAGGAGGGGAAAGGCTGAGATGAGGCGGGCTGGATGGTGTGTGGTTAGGGTTAGGGAATGGAGCTTCATCTCTATGAGGGCTTGAAGCCTCTAGTGACCCCTAGCCCTGTCTCCAAGGGGGGCAGTCTCTGGCTTTCCGCAGCTCCTCCAGCCCTGTATAACAAGACTCTCTGGCTCTCTCTTTACCCCCTTACCATTAGCACTGGGACCCCGAGAACCGGGGTCATGGGAGGGACTTGGCATCCCCAGAACTTAAAGGAAGAAGCCTTGGCTAAAGCCAAGGCCCACCACTGGCCTCGGTGGGCTGGACAGTGGGGAGTGGGAGGGTGGGCTCTGCAGGTAGATGGGTGGGGTCCAGTGCAGAGCTGGCATCTGCTGACTGTGTGGCCTTGGACAGGTCGGCTAGCCACTCTGTGTCTGGGCTTCTCATCAGTAAGGTAGGGCAATACCACACAGTTGTTTCCTTTGGGCAGCCTTCTGGAACCTGAGCAAGTGAGGGGTCCCTACTGGGACCCCCTGGCCCACAACACAGTCCAGACAATGCTGGGTAAGGCACCTCTCCTTCTGGACCTTTGATGGCAGGAACTATCTTCCTACAGCTTCCCCAGAGCCAGTCACATAGAAGGTGCTCAGGAGACGTTGTTGAATGAGTTACATAAACAGCATTTTGTTTTCAAGATGACAGCTGGGCTGAGCATCATGTGTGGATCATTTCACTTAACTTTGGCCACATTTGAGACTGTGTTCCATTAACACCATTTTACGGATGAGGGTCCCAGTGTTCAGATGGGGTAAGGGACTTGTCTAAGGTCACAGAGCTAGGAAGCAGCGTAACTGGGCCCCGGTAGACCTGGTTCCCAGATTTTCTAAGCCTGAGTGTTGAGCAGAAGGCTTGGGTGCAGCAGGAACTTATAAAAGCAATTTCTTCCTCTGCCTTTGTCCCTGCTCGTGCAGCTGTGATCTGTGATGTCTCCTCTCTCCGTGTCTCTGCTCAGACTCCAAGGCTGTCTGTCCTGCTCCAAATCATCTCAGTTCTCCCCCAGAGCTTTTGCATGTCCCATGGATTTCTTAAGGCTAGGACGGCACAGGGGCTAAAAGTACAAACTTGGGGATGTTTCAGTGTCAGAAACGAAAACGTGTAGATGCCCTTGTTTTCATTTATTTTTTATGTACTCATTTATCCTTTCGGCACACACACAACTGAGACCTGCTCTGTGTGGGACGGCAGGATATTACTATTTTTCTACATTTACTAGGTGCCTAGAGTGCCAGACACGGTAGGAGCTAATGGCAGGGAGTCCTAGCAACGTCAGAACAGCACTGACCGCTGGGGCCCAGAACTAAGCAGCAGTTAGGTGGGCAGTGGTTCAGGGAAGGGGGCTCCAGCTGAGTGGCCAGGAGGGGGTTGGGGAAGTGTGGGGCACCCTGGAGGGAGATCTCTGGGGAGAGGTCGGCTGGTGGAAGGTGGTGGTGGTGAGGGTATGTGGGGGGAGGTCGCGTCTCCCCCACCCCGTCACTCCAGCGCCCCCTGTGGGTGGGGCCTGGTGTGGAGCCCCTCGCTGCCCGCCTTGGGGGGCCCAGTGTCCCGGGCATCGCTGCGGGGTCTTGGCCCAGGGACCTGTAACTTGGTACCTGGACAAATGGGTAGGAGTAGAGCAGGTGAAAGGTAGGGGAGCACCATGAGTTACGCGGGGGGCGAGGGGTGGAAGGTGCCCTCCTCCCCCAAGAGCCTGGCCGCTGCCTGAGGGTGCGCCCCCGGCTGCCTGGGTACGAGGGGCGGCGGGTGGAGCAGCGCAGGGTGCGGGACCTGGAGCCCCGGGGTCGGCACGGGGAAGGTGGTGGGCCTGGAGCCCCGGGAGCAGGTGTGGGGGTGGGGGAGGGCCGAGGCCTGAGCCGGGAGCGCCCCCTGGTTCCTGCCCCCGCCCCCTGGGGAGCCTCCCCACGCCCCCCCCCCGCCCTGCTCCCCGGGGAGCCCCCCCCGTCTCCCCCGCCCCCGGGTCCCCCAGGCCCCGCCCCCCGGCCCCTCCGCCCCCCTCCCCCTACCCCCGGGGAGCCTCCCGGTCCCCCCCTCGCCCCCCGCCCCTCCTCCCCCCCCCCCCGTCCCGTCCGCCCCGCCCCCCGGTACCCCCCGTCCCCCTTCCCCCTCCTCCCGGGGAGCCCCGCCCTCTCCCCGGTCCCCCCGCCCCCCGGTCTCCCCCGGTTCCCCGGTCTCCCCGCCCTCCGGCCCCCCGCCCCCGCCCCCCGGCCCCCCCCCCCCGGGGCCGCCGCGGTCCCCCCCGCCCCCTCCCCCCCCCCCCGGGGCCGCCGCGCCGTGGCCGGGGAGGCGCGGAGGAGGCCGGCGCCGCCGCCCGCAGAGGGAGGAGCCGGCCGCGGAGGAGGCGGGGCGCGGGGCGGGGGGCGGCCGCGGCATGGAGCGAGCCCGGCGCGCCCGGGAGCGCAGCCCCGCGGCCCCCGAGCCCTGAGCGGGCGCGGCTCGAGCGCTGGCGGGAGCGGGCCGGGCGCGGCGGCGCGGCCCATGGAGCGGCCCCGGGCCGGGCCCCCGGCGGGCGGGCGGGCGGCGGCGGGCGGCGGGCGGCGGGCGCTGCGGCGGCGGCTGCGGTGAGGCCGGCGGCGGGGCCGGGCCGCGCGCCATGGAGGCCCCGGGCGCCGGCTTCGCGTGCCCGCTGCCCCCCGGCATCGCGTCCGTCACCTACGTGTTCGTCTACAGCCCGAGCGGGCCCGGCGGCCCCGGCGCGCCCCCCGGCCCCGGCCCCGCGCCCCCCGCGCCCCACGCGCCGCCGCCGCGGGGCCCGAAGCGGAAACTTTACAGCGCGGTCCCCGGCCGCAAGTTCATCGCCGTGAAGGCGCACAGCCCGCAGGGCGAGGGCGAGATCCCGCTGCACCGCGGCGAGGCCGTCAAGGGTGAGGGGCCCGGGCGCGGGCGGGGCGGGCGGGGCGGGACTCGAACTCGGAGCCGCGGCGCTCGCGGGACGCACCTGCCCCGGGGGACTCCCTGGGTCGCCGCGAAGGGCTCCGTGTCAGGGCGCGGGCCTGCCCCGGGTCCCTCCGCATCCTCTGTCGCCCCGGGTTCCCTGTTGTCACCACCCAGGCTTCTCGCATTCTGGGGTGTTTTTGTGTCACGATGGAGGTCGCTGTCATGGGAGGACCCCGTGCCATCGGGGACCTTCCTCCCATGACGGATGTCCGGGGTCACTTCTGGGACTTCCTCGTTGGAAATCCTCGAGATGGGGCGGGGGGCCTGTCCCACTGTAGGGGACACCTGGGACCGTTATGTGGGTGGCTGCGTGTCGGGAAGGTTTCTGTCACTGACGCTTCCAGTGTTCTGAGGGGATCCTGTGCCATGACAAGCTCCTCTCCTTCTGGGGGCCTCTGTCATTTCTGGGGTCCTGTCCTCACAGGGGCCTCACGCCCATGGGAGCCTGAGGAGACAGTTGTGGGGCCAGGCCCCCCTTTGGTCCATCGTGTGGCCTAACCCCTTGGCCACAGCACAATGACCCTGAGCCTCTGGTGGTGACCCCTGGGGTGGGCCACAGAGCAAGGGTGGGTGTTGGCTCAAGAGCTGGGGGGAGAGGGCTTCGCTGGGGGGGCAGGAGCAGGACTGTGGCCCTTGCCTCTGCCTGTTGTCCCCCCTCGAGTGTGTCCATCTGTGTGTCTCTCTGTCCCCCACATGCCTATCCTATGCTGTGTCCATCTGTTCATTCCTATCTCCTGTGTGGATCCCAAAATCTTCCCAGGGAAACAACCCGGAGGCTGAAGGGAGGGAAGGGGAGAGGAGGAGAGAAAGGGTCAAGCAGGGGGGCGGTGGGCAGAGCCTGCGCCTGGGGTGGTGGTGGCTGGGGTGGGCTTCCGGAGGTCCTGCTCTGCCCTAACAGCTCTCTGGCTTCTGTCCCTCCAGTGCTCAGCATTGGGGAGGGCGGTTTCTGGGAGGGGACCGTGAAAGGCCGCACGGGCTGGTTCCCGGCCGACTGCGTGGAGGAGGTGCAGATGAGGCAGTATGACACACGGCATGGTGAGTGACCCCACGTCCCCTAAGCAGCAACCGAGGGGCACCGCCCCTTCCAGCTCCCCTGTGGTCTCGTGTGGAGCCGAATCCATGGATATTCACAGAGAAAAGAGTACTGTAAACTCAAACACACATCCGAAGTGGACACAAACTTGTGTCTACGACAGACACGCAGCACACACGCACCCTGTTCGGACCTAGGGGCACATGCTGGCGCTTCACAGCCGTAAAGACACGTGCAGCCTGCCCGTAGGACGCACATTGTGATTACGCCTCTGTGATCCCACGGGGGACTCCCAGTGACCATAACCCCCCCCCCCCCATACATAGTCCTTACAGAAATACTGAGTGTTTGGAGTGCGAGATTCCCGTGTGGCTGGCAGACGGTAAAGAGGTCAGTATGAGAAAAGAGGCGTCTTTCCAAAGTGGACAGATTGTCCAAGTGGGCAGTGCAGGGAGGCCTGGACTAGCCAAGAGGAAATGAGGCCAGTTGGGCCCAGAGGGGCTGTCGTGGGTGCCTTGGGGCCAGCATGGTCTGAGGGCAGCAGGTGGGGGACCTTGCAGCCTCAGCCTGGAGGGAGGATGTGAGGGCCAAGGCTGGGGAGCAGCTTTGCTCAGTCCTTGCTGACTAGTCTGGGCCTCCAGAAAGGACCCCTCCAGGTGTCGGGATCTGAGGTGGCTGCTCCTTTCACGGGACCCCAGGCCAGGGCTTGCTGTGTGTCTGTCACGGGTGTACCCTTGTGATGGGAGGAGGTCCCCCGACCCATGAGTGTTATTTCTGCCGTGGAGAACTGGTGTCCCAAGGGAGCCCCCTCCTGAGTGGTGGCCAGTGGTGGTTACCAGCAGCGTGTCTAGATTGGTGTGTGTGTGTGTGTGCGTGCCTCCCTCTGCATCTGGAGGGCTCGGGCCCTGGCTTGAGGGTTTCCCAAGCGGAGCCAGCCCCTGTGTGGCCTGGACCTCGGCCCTATGTGGAGCAGGGCCGAGGCCCAGGGAGGCAGAGGTGCGGTTGCTGACCTGCTCCTGATCAGGAGCCTTTACTCCCTTTCTCAACCATTTCCTGTCTTGCCCTGTCGGCCCTCCTGGTGGCTGGGAGCTTGGGAGGGACACCCACCCCCTGCTGTCTGCCCGTGGAGGGTACGTGGGCCAGTGTGTCCAGCTGGGGAGTGCTTTCTGAGGTTTGGGTCCCGGTGCCAAGTTCACGGAGGAAGGTGGGGCAGAAGGGGCCTCTGGGTCCTGTGCCCCCCATGAGCGGGTAGGGACTGGGTCCTGTGCCCTCTACGGGAGGACAGCGAAGTCTCTGGTTTGACAACTGTGCAGACCCAGAAGCGGAGTCTGAAGCTGGGAAGGAAGCTGGCAGCGGAGAACAGCAGCAAACATTGATTACATGTTTGGTGTGTGCTGGGCCCTGCGCTGGGAGTGGGGTCGCAGAGGCCGGCTCTGCGTGGAGATGAGCAGGTGTGCAGTTGCAGCAGCCACGTTGCTGTGTTCCTGCGACCACTGGGGGCCCGGAGGAGCCCCCAGGGTTGGCCCGAAGGAGTCGGAGAGCAGCCCTGTAGGACATAGGACAGCTGGGAGTCCGCGGGGTGGTCAGCTGATGGGGATGGGGGGCAGAGCCTGTTTGCTGGAACGTGGCCTGGTGTTCTAGATCCACACGTGCTGGCATCTAGCATGCTCCTAGCTGCGTCAGGGTGTCTGGAATAGTTCTAAGTGCTTTTATGTATGAGAATTCACTGCCTCGTCCCGGCAGGTCTAGGAGGTGGGGGAGATGGGGGCGGTGGTTCCTCTCTAGGAGGGCAGAGTCCCGTGTGCGCTGTGGGCAGTGGCCTGCAGGGTCCGTGACATGACCACCACACCTCGGGGGCTCTGGGTGAGTGAAAGTCGTGTGTGCACGGAGGGGTGGCGGGGCTGCTGCAGGGAGCGTGAGGCCAGTCAGGTGGCCGTGCGACCAGGTGGAGGAGCTTTGCAGCTTTTGGCAGTGCTGTGGGAGACGGCTGCCTTTTGGATTGTGCGGGGCATTTAGGATTGGGGCGAAGGCCGGGCAGGGCAGAGAAGGAGTGGAGAGGGCTGGGGTGGGCTGAAGCTCCGGAGATGGGAGAGTGCGAGGAGCAGCCTGGGGAAGGAGCTGTAGGCCTCGGGGCAGTTGCAGGGCTGCCAGACCAGGGTGGCTCTGGGGTCTGTCCCCTGAAAGAGCGTCAGGAGGCACCTGGAGGGGGCAGGTGGGCAGAGGGGGAGAGGACCAAGGGGGCTTCCTGCTGCAAAGGGGTAGGAGTAATCTCTGTCCTCAGCCAAAGACCCAGCCACCAGCTGCTCTGGGCAGATAGTCCCTGACCTGGGACCCAGGGACTGGGTTCTGCCAGAGGCTGGAGGGCAGCCCCGGAATGGGAACCTGCTTCCAACAGGCCCAGATCCAAAGGAAGATCTGTTTCTGAGACTGGAGTGGGGAGAGAGAAGGACTTAGAAGCCAAAAAAGGGGCCTCTGTGCCAGCATGTGTGGGACAGGCTGGTTCCCAGGGTCATCAGGGTGCACCTCCCTGGCACCTGTCGGGAGCAGGAGGGCAGAAAGCTGAGAAGTGAGGGGGAGCCCTGTGCGCACAGAAGGGTCTGTAAGACACCTGGAAAACCCTGGCCAGATCCTCCCTCTCCTCCCCCTCGTCCTCGCCCTCCCTCCCTCCCTCCCTCCCCCCCTTCTCCTCCCCCTCCTTCCCTGTATTTTCCAGTACTTGGAGGGTCTACTGTGTGTTTTCACTTCAGCTGGCTTTTATGTGTCTGATTAATAAAACTGGAAAGTGAATTTGTGTTATGTAATAAATATAATTTGTTTGGCAAAATCTAAAAACCGGAGGCTGATGAACTGTGGAGTCTGAGGAGGTCCTTCTGCAGGTGGGCGCTATGAACATCGTGAAGTTGGGTCAGTATGGAGAAGGGCGTGACAGAAGCAAGAAGGGGTCCAAAGGCCACCCCCCCGCCGCGCCCTGCACCGGCAGGGACAAGGCCTGGCCTGCTCTGGTCTTGGGAGCGGCAGGATGGCGGGTGCAGGTGCATGACAGGCAGTGTGTGGGAAGAGGAAAGAAGGGAGCGGATGAGCTGTTGGGAGGGTTAGGGTGATAAATCACAGGCCGTCAGAACCTAAAGGACCCTCCAAGGAGAAGTTTCCTGTTCTACGAAGAGAGGCTCAAAGGGATCTGTTGATTTACTGAGAGTCAGTCAGACTAGCGGCAGGGTCCTGGAAGCGGGGACAGTACTTTTCCTGATACCAGCGTCTTGTGATATGGGTAGGAATTCTTTCTTTTTTCCATTCAGCCATGGCTCCGTCTCCTCTTGTCCCTTGGCTTACTCACCTTTCCTTCCATCCGTCTACTCTTCTTTCAACCCACCCAGCCAGCCTCTCTTTCTGTCCATCCACCTACCCAACCATCTATCCATCTATTGATCAATACGTTAATCAAACCACCAACACAGCCATCCTGTCTCTGCCAACGCACCAGCCCACCTATCCACCCATTTACCCATCCACTACCCTTTGATCCATCCGTAGCCTCCTAACCTGTTTTCTTTCCCTCTGTCCACTTCTGTATCTCTCCTCTGATCTGATCTGTTCTACCTGTCTCTCGTTCCATCCTCCCATCTGTCCGTCCATCCATCCATCCATCTATCCATCTACTCAGCCAGTTGTCCACCTGTCTATCCTTCCAGTTAACATTTAGAGGGCCTGTTCTATGCCAGGTGCTGTACTGGGTGCTGGGGTCACAGAAATAAATGAGACGGTTGTTATCTACGAGGAGCTCACAGTCGATTGTAGGTTCCTTCTCTGATCTCATTTCTTCTGTCTCTCTCTTCCTCTGCTCCAGCTGCATAGGCTGCTTGCTGTCCCTTGAACATCCCAAGCCAGTCCTGCCATGTGGGCTTTGCCCGGTGTGCCCCTGCTGCCGGGAAGCCCTTGTCCACAGAGTCCTCAGACTGCTCCCTGCCATGCCGTGCCCCTCCTCACCTGTCCCTTCCTGATGAGCCTTCTTGTGACCATCCTAGAACTGTAGACCTTCTCCAGACCCCTGTCCTGCTTGCTTCTCTCCCAACATTTGCCAGCATTTGCCATGTTACGCATGTACCTGTTTCCTGTCTTCCTGTTCTCCCTCTTCAGATAGATGGTAAACGCCACGGGGTGGAGGCTTTGTTCTGTTCTTTGCTGTATTCTCAGAGCCTAAGACGAACAGTGCTTGGTACACAGTAGGCGCTCAGTAAATACTCGTTGAATGAATGAATGAATCTTGAGAAATGCTAGAATGATAGGGAATGGGAAAAGAGCTATGGATGAAATAGGAGGTGGTGGTCAAGCCATCTTGGGGGCCTTCCAGGGTTCTGGAGAGCTGGAAGCCAGGAGGGGCAGGAGTGAGGGCTAGGATGCTGGAGAAGAAAGTCTGGAACAGGGGACTGTGGCTACAGGTGTGGACTGGAAACTGCAAGCTTGTGGGAATTCGGTGAGGCCATGGGTAGGGCAGAAGATGGACAGCTGCCCAGCCCCGTGACCGCTGTGAAGGACTTTGAGATCAAGAGTACAGACAGGACAAGGCTCTGTGGGATGCAGTGACGTAGGGGAAGGGGACCTGGCCCTACACCTGGATCTCCTGCCCACTCAGAGGTTGGCTCTGGAGGAAGGGACCCTGGCAGGCTGAGCATCAGTGGGCTCGTGAGAGAGTTTCAGTGAGGCCAGAGTGACTTCTGTGCCAGTGTGTTTGTCTACAGCATGACACTTGCGTGTGACTGCGGTTGCATACACACACGCCTACATGAACACAGCACTTACCCATGACTGCAGGTCACACACGTGTGTGATGCACCTTCTTTGTTCAGCCTTGGGGTTTGCTGACACTCTCTGAAGATGGCCCTGGCCTGGCCCCATCTGCTGTGTGCATCCACTCAGGAGGCGCCTGAGCCGAAGCCCCTCCTCATCACAGACCCTGACCCTGAGAGGCCAGGGTTTCCAGCATGGTCCTCTCAGCCTTCTTACCTTCGGACCTTTGGGTCCCCCACATCAATACCAGGCCAGGGATGTGTGTATGTGTGTGTGGGGGGGCTGGTGACCTGCATGGTTGAGGGGCAGTTCAGGTCAGGTGGAGGATGTGGCCCTCCATCAGCTCCTGAAACTCCCTTCAGAAACCCGGGAGGACCGGACGAAGCGCCTTTTCCGCCACTACACAGTGGGCTCCTATGACAGCCTCACCTCACACAGGTACAGGTGGAGGCGGGTGTGCAGGTGGGCAAGGGCAGGCATGCATGCTGATGGGATGTCAGACATGGAGGGAGGACGTATGCTGGTTGAGGAGGCCTGGGGATGAGGAGGTCAGAGGATGGGAGGTGCTACCCAGCCCACCGCTATCTTCTGCCTTCCTGTGTGGTCTAAGGGCAGCTGGCGGGGTGGGCTGTGCCTGTGGGGTCCTGTTTAGGGCACACCCAGGGTTGGCCTCGCCTGCTGTGCTCTCTGGCAGGGCTCTCCTCACCCTTCCCTGCTTTCCTCCACCAGTGATTATGTCATTGATGACAAGGTGGCCGTCCTACAGAAACGGGACCATGAAGGCTTTGGTTTTGTGCTCCGGGGAGCCAAAGGTAATGAAGGATAGGCGGCAGCATGAGTGTGTAGGGCTGGAGTGTCAGGCCAGCGGGGCTGCACATTGCCCGGATATTGCCCGGATATTTCTGGTCTCTGCTCCTCCTCTCTGCTCTCCTTCCAGCCTCACCCCTGCTCCACTCCCTCCGTCCCTGTGGGTTTGGCCCCTGCCCCCTTGCCTTGCCATGACACGCTCCTTGGCTGGCCCCACCCCGCCTTGCCCCTCTGCTCTGACTATATTCTTGGTCTGGAATGTCTGGGTACAAGGCCGTAGTCCCTTGGCCCTGGCGGTCACCAAGACCTCTACTGGAACATGTGTAGTGGAGGGGGAGGCCTTTGTCACAGGGCCGGGGGAGGATCTGTACCCTGGGCAGCCCTGCCCGCGGCCCCCTGCTCCCAGGATGCCCTGCCTCAGGGAACCTTTGTTGAGCGTGGCGAGCCACCTGTGGGAGGTTCCTGTGTGGCAGCTGCTCCCAGCTGGGCCATGGTCCTTAATGCCCTCCCTGCACCCCTGCCCTGCAGCAGAGACCCCCATCGAGGAATTCACGCCCACGCCCGCCTTCCCTGCGCTCCAGTATCTTGAGTCGGTGGATGTGGAGGGTGTGGCCTGGAGGGCCGGGCTGCGCACAGGAGACTTCCTCATCGAGGTGAGGCTTATCCTTACCTGTGCAGTCAGGTGGGGCGCTGACCTCCGAGCCCTGAGGTGGACACACCTGGCACGTCCCCACCACGTGCCTGTCTGTCCCAGGTGAACGGGGTGAACGTGGTGAAGGTTGGCCACAAGCAGGTGGTGGCTCTGATCCGCCAGGGCGGGAACCGCCTCGTCATGAAGGTTGTGTCTGTGACAAGGAAGCCCGAAGAGGATGGGGCTCGGCGCAGAGGTGAGGGGCCAGGCTTCAGACCTCTGTGCTCAGACTGTCCCCTCTGACACCTGACTTTAGACCTTTGACCCCAGGCCCATGTTCCTCTCCCCACCCCCTGACCCTAGACTGTTGACGTCAGATGCCTCAACCTAGGCAGAGTGTCTGCCTTCAGGGCCTGGGTGCCTTGCTGACCCCCATGTCAGACTGCCAGGACGCCAGCCCCGGCCCCCAGCCTCTGACCCCTGACCCCACTTGCCCCTCCTCAGACCCCCACCCCCTCCTTCCCGGCGTCCCCCCAGCCCCTGGCGAGGAAGAGCCCTCCTTCCCGACACTGCCAGCAGCTGCCTGGAGGCCGGGGTTGCCATAGCAACTGTGAGGTTGACGCTGCCGCCGCTTATTGTCGGAGGGAAGGGGGAGGCGGCACCTGAGGGAAGAGGAAAAGCGTCTTCTCCCCGCGACGTCGCGGCACAGCCTGGGCCCGGGAGGCCCTGCCAGCCTGGGCTGCCCGGCCCCGGTCCCAGCTCGGCTGCCCACAGCCCAGTCCCCAAGGGGCAGTGGCCTCCAGGGCCTGGGGGGAGCCCCGGAGCAGAGGCCCCGCCTGCCAGGAGACCCCTCCCAGCCCCCACCTCATGGCTCTGGTGCCCCCTGGCTCAGCCCACGGAGCCTGCTGGGTGGGCACTCAGGCGTGAGCTGGCCGGCACTGTGACCCCCACTTGGGCCCTTGACCACCTGCCTCCTGAGGCCCCAGCCAGCCACCCTGGCCCCGCCGGGCCCTTGGCACCCCCTGAGCTCCCAGCGCCATGAAGAAGTTTGCATCTAGCCGCAGCCTGAACAAGATCCTGGCGCAGTGCGACTCATCCTCACGGGAGTACGAGGAGATCCAGGCGGTGGAGCGCAAGTGGCACCTGCACCTAGCCACACCGCGCTGCCTACTGCTGGACAGGAGGTCCAAGGCCTCCCTCTTCTTTGCAGCCCCACCGCCCCCCAAGAGGGCCCCCAGCACCACGTTGACTCTGCGTTCCAAGTCCATGACGGCAGAACTTGAGGAACTTGGTGAGCAGCAGGGGTGGACAGTGGGCAGACAGCCCAGGGTGGGAGGCCAGGCAGTGTCAGCTGGGGCCATAGCTAGGCAGAGACAGAAGGGAGGAAGGACAGACATATGGATAGGTCAAAGGTAAATGGGTGGGTGCTGGAGTGGTGAGGAGGGGAACGGCTCGCAGATGGCATGAGGGCTGGAGATGGGCAGGAAGCAGGACCTGGCCTACCAGTATGTTTGTGTGCATGTGCACCTGCTGCTTCTGGCTCTGCACACCTTCAGTTTGACTTTACTCATTCACTGCATCAGAGTGAGGAAGGAGCAGGGCTCCTGGGCCCTGTCCCAGCTCTGTGGGCACTAGCTGTGTGATCTTTGTGCTTATTTTTGCCTCCTTAGCCCCTGTTCACTCGTCAGCTAAGGAGGGGTTACAGTGAGCTGCTGACCTTACAGGGCTGTGTGACCATCACTAGTGTGATGATAGGACAGGCCCCCGTGAGCTACAAGAGACAAATAAGAGTGTGTCAGGGCTTTGACGGGGCATGTTGTGGGCATGATTCTGGGATGACCCCCAATAGCTTACCTGTGGGCATGTCTTGATATATGTGACCGTTAGTAGCTTCATCATAGGCATGTCCAGATAAATATGACTGTGTCCTGACATATGTGGCAGGTAACGATGGGCATGTCTCAATATACATGACTGTTGGCATGCTCTATCTTCCTGTAATTCAAACCCAGTTCTAATACCAGACTTTACTGTGGCTCTAGCCTTAGAAGCAATGCTGCCTCTGGTCCTGGGCTGAGTTCTGACATAGTCCTGGCCACAGGAACGGCCCCGATCCTGGTTCTAGACTGACCCTCAACCCTGGGTTCAGGCTTTGTTCTTCCCCAGCCATGGAAAGAACACTTACCTGTCCCCCAGAATTACTGCTGACCTTATTAATAGAGTGATCCTTGACCCTGTCCTGGCCACAGGTTGAGCCACCTCCCCCCTCCCCTCCACCCCATTCCAAGCAGGTACTCTTGACTGCAGTGTAGGAGGAGGAGGGCAGCCACCAAGATAGACCGGGCTGACAGGGTCATACTTTTCTTCCCCATAAATATTCTGAATAGAGTAAAACTCAAAAATAGATAGCTAACTCAAAACAAAGGAAGAAGAATTTCACAGGTCTCAAGAATAAAGAGAGAAATTAGTTAAGAAAGTGAGAGGAAGTTAGTGTCCGAAAAGGCTTGGGACAGTGTATAGATCCTAAGGACAGTGGTCGGGGCTCTGAAGCTTCTGCAAAGCCAAGACATGTAGCCGTGAACCCATGAGAAGTGGGAAAACTGGAACCGAGCCCAGGGACTGGCATTAACATCAAAAGAAATGGAAGTCATAGAAGAAAAAGAAAGACATAAAATAAGGTGTTTAAATACAATGTTTGGGATGCCTGGGTGGCTCAGTGGTTGAGCGTCTGCTTTCAGCTCAGGGTGTGATCCTGGAGTCCTGGGATCAAGTCCTACATCAGGCTCCTTGCATGGAACCTGCTTCTCCTCCATCTGTCTATGTCTCTGCCTCTCTCTCTGTGTTTCTCATGAATAAATAAATAAAATCTTAAAAAAATGCAATGTTTAAGGAAACTAACAACTCACAAAGGACAGGACAGTACAAAAAAAAAGAATAATCAGATTTTAAAAGGACTGTTATTGAAACAAAAAGTATAGTCCCTGAAATGAAAAAAAAAAAAATCCATGACTGAGATAAATAGTATACTAGATTCAATTGAAGAAAGAAACCGTGAATTAGAAGATCATTCTGAGGAAATTACCCAAAATGCAGCACAGAAAGTAGGGAGATGCAAACTATCAAAAGCAGAGAAGAGATAATGGAGGACAAGTGAGAATATCCGGGTCTAACGAGAATTCCAGAGGGAAAGAATGAACTGATTGGGGAAGAGGCAATATTTGTAGAGTAAATGACTAAGAATTTTCTGTAATTGAACAAGGACATGAAATTCTATTTTGAAGAGGCTCCAAGCAAGGCAATAAAAACAAATCTACATCTAGATCTGTCATAGTAAAACCTCACAACCCCACAGACAAAAGAAAATTTTTACCTACCAAAGCAGCTGGATAACTCAGAAAGGATCAATGGCTAGAATGGCAGCAGACTTCTCATCAGCAATAGTAGATGCTAGAAGACGATGGAAAAATAACCTAAAAGTCTTGAATTAAAAATGCCTTTCCACCTAGAATTCTATACCCAGCTAAACGTGCTCATTGAAGAGTGAGGCAGAGAGGCCAGTAGACCTCTGGCCTCAGGGTCACAAGGGTCCAAGGCTAGCCATGGGGAACTGATCCATTACACTGATGGAGGCTCCAAACTGATCAGTAAACCAGTACCAGTGGGTGGCTGGGTCTGGCTAGACACCAGACCAAGGCTGTAGTGGGTGGGTCCTGGGAGTCTCCTTCCAGAGGCTGTCATGTCATGTCACATAGCCATGTTCAGCTACATGTTCAGAAGGGACCCTCCGAGTTCTGCTTGAAGAGGTGCATGGGCATCTAGGGACCAGGGGACTGAGCCCCGTGGAAACAGAAGAGTGGCCTTCTGCTCTGTGGGGTGCTTCTGTGTGAAGAAACCAGTGAGTAGAAGAAGAGCCTCCTTCCTCTCTGCACTGGTCTGGGGCACTCCTGCTGCTGGGTGGCAGGATTAGTCTACACACCCTTGTCTTCCAGAGGGGCTTGCTCTTGCTGCCTCAGGTCAGCATTGTTTCCACCAGGTTTTACTCAAGCAGAGTCTGGGGGAGGACAAAGGGACAGCTTAGCACAGAGCCACCACCCATACTGCTGAATGAGGGGTCATAGCTTTTATTGAAGCTGGACCCAGACTCTCTATGTTGCTCCCTTCAGAGAAGGAGATGCCACTGCTGCCCCTGGAGGAGAGCTGTTCTGGGAAGCCAGACCACTGGCTGACTTTCTCTAGGTTTGAGGAAGTCAGGCCAGCATCAGGGTTTCCCCAGGTACCCGAGGGATCACCCCATGATCCAGCACTTGTGCTTTTGTAAGACGGAAATAAGACCTGTTGGTTCATTACCAGCATAAACATGCCAGCTCTCCGTTGCACTGTTGAGAAGTGATAGAAGCTGTTAGGGTGCTGTGGTCTATTGAGAGGATGACCTGAACATCTGGAAAGAAAGGAAGTGTGAGGCCACAGAAAAAGCAGGTGGCAAAGGTGGGAGCTCATGCCCAAGTGGCTTCTTGCTGCTCCGTGGGTGTTGGGGAGAAGTCAGGTCCTGTGGGAGGGAGAAGAGGTAAAGAGCATCCTGGTGGGGGATGGTGTGGGCAGAGACGATGCCCAGAAAATGAGGGCCTGGGGTGGCTGGCAGAAATGGGAACGAGAGGAACAGGTTGGGGTAGGAGCTCTTGTAAGTGGTGTGGCAGGAGGAGGAGGAAAGGTGGGACACTCTCCGTGCCCTTCGGCATGGGGGGGACTCCTGTGGTCACCACATGTTCATCTGCTTGAACCAGTAATATGCTGGGGCTGCAGAGACAGTGGAGACTCGGGGCAGGGAGGGCCTCGGAGGGTCTGAGCCCCTCCTGTCCATCTGCTTTCTGGAGAAGTCTGGAACTTTTGGGTCACTTTTTCTCTTGCGATGAGAATGCCGGGGCAGGTGCCATGCCCGTGTGTGGTTCTTGATTGGCTGTGGTCTGGCAAACACATGGGCCTGCCCCTTGCTGGAAACACACTACACAGAACACTCAGGGGTGATCACTGAAACTGTCAGTGGCCTCTGAACTTGGGTGTTTGGGGGGGAGGGGTTGCCTTTTTTCTGAATAGTTGATGCAACCAAGTGTATGTGGCCGTCTGCACATGTGCATGCATGTCTGTGTGTGCATGAGCTCATCCATGCATGCGTGTGAGTGGAAGTGCATGAATGTGTGTGCACGCGCTCGTATGTGCACGTGCACAAGCATATGAGCCTGCTCGTGGTGGTTTCTGCCTTGAGTTTCAAGCCACATACCAACTCGGCATTTGGGCACAGCTGCCCCTTAGGGTCTGATGGGGGGTGTAGGCCGAGCGTCGCAGGGAACCTGGGAGGTCCTGGCTGTTGGGAGGGCTGGGAAGTGGGAAATATGGGAAGTGGGAGTGGGAAGGGGCCCGGATGCTGAGGGACGAAGCCTGCCTCTTACCCCTTTGCTTTGTTTCTTGATTGCAAGCCTCCATTCGGAGAAGGAAAGGGGGTGAGTCATCTGCTGGGTCCCCAACTTTACCTGATCCCTGTACAGGGAAGTTTCCGTTCAAGTCAGGGGGGCTTAGAAGCTGGGGCTGTGCCTCCCTGTTGGCCTTGTCCCTGGGGATCTGGTGTGGGTACAGCGGAGGGAGCTGGGGAGGGATGGAGGGGGAGTTCCCAGGGGTGTGGCTCTGTGGGGATGTGAGGGCCCCAGAGGCAGCCTGGGGAGGCAGAGCAGTGCCACTTCCTGGAGCTGGGTGGGGCAAGGGTTCAGCGGGCCCAGCTGGGGGTCTGCTCAGCTCGGGCCTATGTGGTTGCTTTCTTGCTGTTTTCTGGGGGCTCCTTGTGCCTGATGCGTGGATCCCATTTCTGTGCCGACTCATTGTGGGGTCAAGCCCAGGGCTGCTGACAGTGCCTTCTGAGCAGGGGTCTGGGCCCCGTAGCATGGGAAGGGGAGCTTGGAGCCCCTCTGCCCAACATAGCCTGGGCTGCTGACCTCACCGCCCCCTGCCCCTCCAGCAGTTCCCCTGTGTCCTTCCAGGCTCCTTCCTATATGTGTCCAGCCTCCATGTGGGGGCAGAGTCTGAGGTCCTGCATCTGGTGAGGTCTCAGGATCTGGCCTTTGCCAGCCTCCTCCATGTCTCGAGTGGACAGGGGACTCTTCTTCGGCTGAATAGGAGTCAGAGCCAGATGGAAGCCTGAGGTGGCTTTGTGGTCTCAGGCACGTGTCTGTGTGCCTGGTGTCTGCTCTTCACTTTGCGGTGCCAGGGACACACTGGTACCCCGTGTCTGGGCCCTGACTCTCCAGCATGGCCTGCAACCTGACCCTCAGAGCTCTCCTGTTGCCCCTCCCCCAGTGCCAGGTGAAGTGCTCTCCAGGTATTAAAGCTAGGTACCCTCTAGGAATGCTTTCCTTTGCCCTGTGAGACAGACACACAAGCTATTTCTGGAACAGTTTGGTTGTGTCCTTAGTTCATTAGCGGGGCTCCCAGGGTGCTATGCTGTGGCCTGTGCACTTCTTTCAGTTGTAATGGAAGTGTAAGGGAAGTGACGTGATAGTGCATTGCTCCTGTGGCCCCTCATTCCTGCTCGGGCTCCAGTGGCTTCAGCATCTGTGTCCCCACCTCATGCGGGATCCTTACACCCGGTATATGTGAGGCTGACAGGAGTGTCCCTTCCCAGTGCCCCAGACCTGCTTCCTAATGGATCTTATTTTCTTTTTTAAGTGTCTAAGATAATTTATTTAAGAATTTATTTTCTAGGGGCACTTGGGTGGCTCAGTGGTTGAGCGTGACTCCGAGGTCCTGGGACCGGGTCCTGCACTGGGCTCCCTGCATGGGGCCTGCTTCTCCCTCTACCTGTGTCTCTGCCTCTCTCTCTGTGTCTCTCATGAATTTAAACAAACAAACAAAAAAAGAGAGGTATTTTCTAATAATGGTGGGGATTGTTGTCAAGCTCACCAGGTCATAGTTTGCAGAATTCTTGCTTCTTTCCCTTTTGGAAAGCATTCTTGCCGGGGCCCAGCACTGTTCTCCACGTCCAGTGGTACTTGCTCTGCTGACTTCATGTGCACACTGCTTGGTTTCACCTGGGCCTAGAGATGCGGCTTCTACACCCCACGTGCCCCACGGAAATGTTTCCTCTCCACTCATGTCTTTATGTCTGCAGTTCCTGGATAACACGGTTGTGAAGTCTGATTTCTTACTGGATCTGTGGTCTGGAGCACTTTCTCTCTCAGAGCTTCATTTCTTGGGTAAAACAAGGGCAGTATCAGCATCTTCTTTGTATGGTTTTAAGGGATGAAGGGTCATGGGAAGCTCTTCTAACCGGAAGTCACCAGGGACTGAACGAAGGGTAGTGATGGTGATTTCATCTTCCAAAGGGAAGTTGCCTGCTTCATCACCCAGACAAGAGGATGGCCCTCTCACGAGCCCTCCCCGCGGCACTGGGAGCCACGCACGGGGCCTGCGAGCTGGTCTGCAGGTGGATTTGTTGAACTCCCGTGCTCTTTGGGGCCCAAGCTGGGCGCTCGGGACACGCAGGGGAGAGGATGGGCTCTCCTGGGAGCCCGCAAGCTCTGCAGGAGCTGAGGTGTAGTGTGTCTTCGGTGCTGATGCCGAGCCAGGCGGAACTGGAGCGCTTCTTGCATGTGGGCCCGTTCTTACAGCCGTTGCTGAAGCAGCTGCCGTTTTCATGACTGCTTCATCAGATAAGGAAACTGAGTCACAGGGAAGTTAAGTCAGGACAGACTCTGTACGCCGAACGGGTCCGGCCTGGGCTGGGTGCTGGCGGCTGGAGGGGCTGACTTCTTTCCCCTGGCAGTTGCTGGGTGGGCTGCAGAGGGAGAGCCAGGGGGAGCCGGGGAGGTGTCGGCGAGGTGACGGGGCCCTGGTGACAGGCCAGGCTGGCCCCGACACAGGCCTCTGGGGTTGGCAGAGGCTCAGGGATGAGTGCAGGGTGCCGTGGGGCCACTGAGGCTCGGGAGCTGGACCCACCACCGCTGGGCTGCACAAGCTGCACCTGATGCACGACCCTCGTGCCCGCAGAGCTGCTGGTTCTCACACACGTGCTTAACAAAATTTTCAAGTCACATGGATAATCAAAAGCCCCACTTTAAAAAACATTCAACAGCTTTAATAAAAAAGCAAACAGAGCTTTTCTTTATGATGGATTTGGGAAGAAGGCTGTGTGAGGCCTCCTGGTGCCTTTGCCGGGCTCTGGCCTCGTTTGCCTCGCAGGGCTGCTGGGAGTCCCTCCAGCCCCCCACCCCCCACCCCCACCCCTCCCCCTCCAGCATCGTCCTCTCCTCCCACTTCCCACCCATCGCGGGGCTGCTTCTCTGTGGATGAAGTTTTTTGGGCCTCCTGGCCTCGATGGGAGTCATCTTTTTAGGTCCCTCACCTGGGACTGTGACTTCTGTCTTCAGCAGTATCCCGTCCATCCGTTCCGGGCTCGTTCTGTCTTCGGTGGGCACCTGCTGTACACCGGGCCTTGTCTGGGGCTTGTCCTGGGCCTGTCCTGGCCCTTGTCCTGGGCCTTGTCCCGGGCCTTGTCCTGGGCTTGTCCTGGGCCTGTCCTGGCCCTTGTCCTGGGCCTTGTCCTGGCCCTTGTCCCGGGCCTTGTCCTGGGCCTTGTCCTGGGCCTTGTCCCGGGCTTGTCCTCCAGGAACGGCTTAGCTTGTGGTGCAGCAGAGCCACAGACACATGAGAGACGCCAGGTGCTGAGGACGGGACGGGGTGAAGGGAAACAAGTTCAGGAAGCCTCTGGGCTCCAAGCATGCTGTCCCCCTTCCCCACCCCCCGGTCCTCTCCCTTGTGGCCAGTCAGGCGTGTCCTGGAGTGCAGTGGTGACCTGGACGCCCCTGAGCCTGCGGCGGCCCCGCTGGGGTGGGACTCAGAGGGGATGCGTGCTGCTTGGCTCCCAGGCTCCCCAGGCTCGGGTCCAGAAGAGGAGGTGCAGGGTGCCGGGCCCCGGGGGGAGGACACAGCAGTGGGGCCACATGGGCATGGGGCAGGTTCGGCATCCACGTGGCTGAGTGGTGCCTCCCTCGGCTGTGCAGAGAAGCTGGATGAGATCCTGGCCGCCGCCACGGAGCCGACCCTGAGGCCGGACATCGCGGACGCCGACTCAAGAGCCGCCACTGTCAAACAGCGGCCCACCAGTCGGAGGATCACCCCTGCCGAGATCAGCGTAAGTCGCCCCAGCAGCTTTGGGGCCTGGGGAGGCACTGGGTGGGGGGAGCTTGGGGGTCTGAGCTCCATGGCCCCTGCAGGCTGGCTGTGCATTTTTCTGGGGTGGGAGTCCATCACTCGGCCCCTGCTCTCCAGGGCTGGGGGTGAAGAGCCCCGTGGCTTCCCTTGCACGCAGGGCATCAAGCCCCCACAATGGCCCAAGTTTAACATCCCGCTGAGCTCTCACTCCTCATGCTGTGGGTTTCAGGAGCCCCTGCACAGCCACACCCTGCACCACCTAGAACCCCCCCAGCCCTGTGGGGGCACCTCTTGTGGCCACTCCCCCAGCCGCATCCGCAGCCACCCTACCCAGTGTTCCACGCTCCCTGCGGGCAGGGCCTGCTCACAGTCCTGGCTCAGGGCTCCGTCGGTGCCAGTGCTCCTGGGGTGGTGTATGTTTGGTCCCAGGCTCAGGAGCATGGCTGGGGCTGGGTGGAGACCTGGGGGCCCCGGTGCCCCAGAACCTCCGTATAACCCACCAACTCCCACAGTCTCTGTTTGAGCGCCAGAGCCTCCCAGGCCCAGAGAAGCTGCCTGGCTCCCTGCGGAAGGGGATTCCACGGACCAAGTCTGTAGGTACGGTGGGAACGGGGCCGGGGTGGATGTGGGGCTCGACAACCCTGTCTCCCAACCCTCTACTGGGGTTTCCAGTTTTGCCCTGAGAACTGCTCTTCCAGGTCACAGCCCAGGAATCTCCTTCTTTGTGAACATATGTGGGTCAGTCCTTCCCCCAGTCCAGAGACACTGTGCGGAAGAGACCTTGACGCTTCCTTTCTCCATTCACTGTCCCTCTGTCCAGCAAGAGACCCCTGCCCCCCATCCACCTCTCCCTGTCCAGTATGTGCCCCCTGCCCCCCCATCCACCTCTCCCTGTCCAGCGTGTGCCCCCTGCTCCCCACCCCACCTCTCCCCATCTGGCGTGAGCCCCCTGCCCTCCCATCCACCTCTCCCCATCCAGCGTGAGCCCCGTGCCCCCCCATCCACCTCTCCCTGTCTGGCGTGAGCCCCCTGCCCCCCCCCGTCTACTGCTCCCAGTCCAGCATGTGCCCCCCGCCCTGCCCCATCCACTGTTCCTCACCTCCTGTCCACCTCTACCCGTCGACCTCTCCCCATCCAGCATGTGCCTCCTGCCCCCCCATCCACCTCTCCCCATCTAGCATGTGCCCCCTGCCCCCCCATTCACCTCTCCCCATACAGCTGAGCTCCTTCACTCTCCCCATCCAGCGTGCCACCTTCCTGTACCTTTCGTGGACACCAACATCCTTCTCCCTGTGTCCTCTACTCCTACCCTGGGTGCCTCCTAGACTTCCCCTTCCCTTGAACCTGCCTGGCCGCCCCCTCCCCCCCCGTACTTCTCCATACTTCTCCATATCTCTCTTCTTCCCAGAAAGTGCCTATACCTGCTGCCTCCTGTCCCTCCCCTGCTCCTCAGCCGGGGGCAGGCTAGCTCTATCCATACCTAAAACTGACCGTGCTCTCACCCGGGGGTTCTCAGGGCACTCCTTCCGGTGGACACATGACCTCTCTTACCTCAACTAGCATTTGATATGTTTGTCTCTTCCTCCATGACAATCACCTTCCCAAGGCTTTAGGACATTTCTTGGTCCTTCCCTCAGTTCTTAGGCTTTACCTATTCAGTCTTTAATGCCCCTCCCCCCCAAACCAAATGTAGGTCCTTCTCAAGGCTGTGTCCTTAGCCTCTTTGCCTTCTCCACCTGTCTCCTTGGGACCTCATGCCCCACAGCTACTGTCACACCCCACACTTAGCCATGTCTCTTGATCCCAGACGGGGTCATCTCACAAGCCCCACCCAGTGCTTGTCACTCTAGGTATCTAATCCCCCTCCCCTGCCCACCTGTCCATCCATTCACTGACCAGTCCACTTTTCCATCTATCTACCCTTGTCCACCGCACCACATCCATCATCTGTTCACCATCATAGTAAACACCTATTTAACACTTACTGTCACACTGTGTTTTAAACACTGGTTCATTTAATACTTCAGTGACCCTGTTGAGGTGATATTACAGATGAGGAAGCAGGTAAAGAGGTAAAATGACTTCCCCAAGGTCACACAGCTGCCTCCCCTGTCTTCTGGTAAGAAGTGCTTGCTACTATTCGTTGGGCAGAGGGCCCTACCCCACCTTGGCTGGTATCACAACACATTCCCCATTTCATCCCGGGCAAGTGACTTGTCTTCACCCTAGGTTAGAATTTGGCATGCCAAATCTGCATCTTCTAGGAGCACCAGCTTTCGTGGAGTTCTTTTCTGTCTCACACACAGGCTTGTGGGTGCTCAGTAGGTGACTCTTTGCTGCCCAGTAAATGCAGTAGGGAGGAGACCCCGAATGAATGAACCCAGCACAAGGTCTGTGTCCAGTGGTGGGGGTCTTTGGAAAGCAGACCTACACATGATAGCGATGCTCATGACCTCAGCCACCATGCTGGGATGCTTCTAGGTGCACAGCCCTGTGCTGTAGGCTTTAAATGGCTCTAGCTCTGGCAGTCCCACAGTGGGGGCCAGCATTTCTCCTGAGATTAGGAAATGGACATGCCAAAAGGTCAAGGAATGTCAGATGGTAACTGCTAATGCTAGAGCTCAAGCTTCAGCGTTTACTTGAGAGCCCCCCCCACCTTTGCTGTGCCGGGGGTGCAGGAGCTGTCATGCAGGACGAGGGGCCTGAGCAAGACCGCCTTGGTGGCTAAAGGAGGGGTGGCTGGGAACAGGCAATCTGTATTGTAGTGAGTCCGTAAAAATGTGACCAAGCACAGGGTGAAGCCAGGTGTAGATTCCCAAGGCCCTTTACCGGAGACCCATGTGTATGTCAGCACTGGGGCCATCCATCCACTCTCCTCAGATGGCACTAACACTGCAGCCTTACCGCACACACCGACTGCACAGGTATCCACATTGTGTCCACAGGGCCACTAGGGAGGACTTGCCAGGTTCTAGCCAGGCAGCAGGACAGCGCGAGCCCTGAGCATCCCAGCCCTGCTCTTGCACAGGCCCTAACTCTTGCACACTGAGGCAGGCAGAGTGTGTCATGTTTTAAGTCTGTCTTGCTCATGAGAAAATTGAGTTTCAGAGGGGCCCGGGGCTTGGCCCAGAGGCAGTGGGACTGAAACATGTATTAGGTGCTTAGTCTACAAGTCCATTTTAGTTCTTCCTCCTTCCTCCACACCCAGCCACTAAGCTTACGGCAGTGACAAGCAGTGTCTCCCAGTCAGTCCACTTAGGTTTCTGGGATGGAGCCTCTCAGGGCTTGTCTTTTCACAAAGCACCTCCTCCCCTGGGCACCAGCTCTCTTTCTGCCAGATGCATGGCTCAGCTGGCCACAGTCCCGCTGTCCCTTTGAGCACAGCCAGTGCATCACTCCCACTCTGGGAGAGCGTCCCCCTAATTTCTGACCGCCTCCCTTCCTGCCCTCTCTGGTTGCCACTGGGGCACACCTGCTGGTTCCACTGTTGTGATGTGGCCCTGCTCGGTCTTGGATGGAAGCCCTGCACCAGCCACCTACCTCTTCTCTGCAGGTCTGTCTTCATGACTGGGGGGTCCTTCTTTGGGCCCTCAGTGCAGTGGGGCTTGGGCAGCTCTTGGCCCTAACCTGGGTTGTCGGAGTTTCTGTCCTCTCAGTTGTTGGTGGAGCCCTCCTCTGCCTTACATCTGAACTAATACCTCTCCCCAGGTCTTCCCAAGAACCCTCCCAAGCCAGCAGGGGCCCCCGGGGTGCAGAGCCTGGGTATCTAGGGAGGAGCCCGGACTGGGGGGCTCTGCTCAGATTCCCTATTCTGGGCTCTCCGTGTCCCCTTTTGCTTTCCAATCCCAGCCTCCGCACCCTGCGGGACCCCATCGTCCCAGTCTGGTTAGTGCTTCCCGCCAGGTTCTCAGGGGGTGTCTTCGCGGCTCTTGCTGCCTGGGACGCTCCGCTCCGTCTGCAGGACGGGCCGCGGGTCTCACTGGATCCCCTCTGTCTGCAGGGGAGGATGAAAAGCTGGCGTCCCTCCTGGAGGGGCGCTTCCCGAGGAGCACGTCCATGCAAGATTCCATGCGCGAGGGCCGAGGCATCCCGCCACCCCCCCAGACTGCGCCGCCCCCCCCACCAGCCCCCTACTACTTCGACTCGGGGCCGCCCCCCACCTTCTCGCCTCCGCCACCCCCTGGCCGCGCCTACGACACTGTGCGCTCCAGCTTTAAGCCCGGCCTGGAGGCGCGCCTGGGCGCGGGGGCCACGGGCCTGTATGAGGCTGGGGCGCCCCTGGGGCCGCTGCCCTACCCTGAGCGGCAGAAGCGCGCGCGCTCCATGATCATCCTGCAGGACTCGGCACCCGAGGTGGGCGATGTCCCGCGGCCACCTCCGGCCGTCACCCCGCCTGAGCGGCCTAAGCGGAGGCCGCGGCCGCCAGGCCCCGACAGCCCGTACGCCAACCTGGGTGCCTTCAGCGCCAGCATCTTCGCACCCTCCAAGCCCCAGCGCCGCAAGAGCCCCCTGGTGAAGCAGCTGCAGGTGGAGGACGCCCAGGAGCGCGCGGCCCTCGCCGTTGGCAGCCCCGGCCCGGGTGGTGGCAGCTTTGCCCGCGAGCCCTCCCCGACGCACCGCGGCCCTCGGCCTGGCGGGCTCGACTATGGCCCCGCTGACAGCCCCGGCCTGGCTTTCGGCGGCCCGGGGCCGGCCAAGGACCGGCGGCTGGAGGAGCGGCGCCGCTCCACCGTGTTCCTGTCGGTGGGAGCCATCGAGGGCAGCCCCCCGAGCGCCGAGCTGCCCTCCCTGCAGCCCTCCCGCTCCATCGACGAGCGCCTTCTGGGCGCCGGCGCCACCCCCACCACCGGCCGCGACCTGCTCCTGCCCTCCCCCGTCTCTGCTCTGAAGCCATTGGTGAGCGGCCCGAGCCTTGGGCCTTCAGGCTCCACCTTCATCCACCCGCTCACCGGCAAGCCTCTGGACCCCAGCTCGCCCCTGGCCCTGGCCCTGGCCGCGCGGGAGCGGGCTCTGGCCTCCCAGGCGCCTTCCCGGTCCCCCACACCTGTGCACAGCCCCGACGCTGACCGTCCCGGGCCTCTATTTGTGGATGTGCAGGCCCGCGACTCCGAGCGAGGGGCCCTGGCCTCCCCAGCCTTCTCCCCAAGAAGTCCAGCCTGGGTCCCTGTGCCTGCTCGCAGGGAGCCGGAGAAAGCACCCCGGGAAGAGCGGAAGTCACCGGAGGACAAGAAGTCCATGATCCTCAGCGTCCTGGACACATCTCTGCAGCGGCCGGCTGGTCTCATCGTCGTGCATGCCACCAGCAACGGGCAGGAGCCCAGCGGGCTGGGGGCTGAAGAGGAGCGGCCAAGCACCCCGGAGCTGGCCCCCGCCCCTCCACAGTCGGCAGTGGCGGCGGAGCCCCTGGCTAGCCCCCGGGCGCAGCCCCCTGGCAGCGCCCCGCCGACAGACCCCGGGCCGGGCCAGGGCAGCTCGGAGGAGGAGCCAGAGCTGGTGTTTGCCGTGAACTTGCCGCCCGCCCAGCTGTCCTCCAGTGATGAGGAGACCAGGGAGGAGCTGGCCCGCATTGGGCTGGTGCCGCCTCCTGAAGAATTTGCCAACGGGGTCCTGCTGGCCACCCCCCTTCCTGGCCCAGGTCCCTCGCCCACCACGGTGCCAGGCCCGGCCTCAGGGAAGCCGAGCAGCGAGCTCCCGCCTGCGCCTGAGTCTGCAGCTGACTCAGGGGTGGAGGAGGCCGACACGCGCAGCTCCAGCGACCCCCACCTGGAGACCACAAGCACGATCTCCACGGTGTCCAGCATGTCCACGCTGAGCTCAGAGAGTGGGGAACTCACTGACACCCACACCTCCTTCGCCGATGGACACACTTTTCTACTCGAGAAGCCACCAGTGCCTCCCAAGCCCAAGCTCAAGTCCCCGCTGGGGAAGGGGCCGGTGACCTTCAGGGACCCGCTGCTGAAGCAGTCCTCGGACAGTGAGCTCATGGCCCAGCAGCACCACGCCGCCTCTGCTGGGTTGGCCTCTGCTGCCGGACCTGCTCGCCCTCGCTACCTCTTCCAGAGAAGGTCCAAGCTGTGGGGGGACCCCGTGGAGAGCCGGGGGCTCCCTGGGCCCGAAGATGACAAACCAACTGTGATCAGTGAGCTCAGCTCCCGCCTGCAGCAGCTGAACAAAGACACACGCTCCTTGGGGGAAGAGCCGGTCGGTGGCCTGGGCGGCCTGCTGGACCCTGCCAAGAAGTCGCCCATCGCGGCAGCTCGGTGAGCAGGGCAGTGTGGGGAGGGTCCTGTCCCATGTCCACGGCCCCTCTGTGTTCTTCCTTCCGTGCGTCCACGGCCTCCTCCATTCCCCTCTGTGGTCCCTTCTGTCCCATCCCCTACCCGTCTGTGGCACTCCTCCCTGTCCACTTCTGTCCTTGACTCGCTCTTGCTTTGTCAGGGATCTGAAATATCAGGGCTGCTGTCCTCTCCGTCGTCCCTGTTGGTGCTGGGAGTGGGAGCTGGGTACCCATGGGGGACAGACCCAGGCAGGGCCCGAGCACCTCCCTGGCCCTCCCGGAGACTACCCGCCTCGGGTTCATGTGGGCTCCTATTCTTTTGCTCCTGACCGAAGCTGCCTCTACTACTCAGGGTCCTTCTGTGGTCCGTTCTGGAGTTCCCACCCGCTCTCCCCACCCCCGGTGGCCACGTGGCTGGTGCCCCCATTCCTGTAGCTGCCTCCTGCCTTGCTTCCTTTCGAGGCTTAGAGTGCGCTGACTCCTTTTCCTTTGGGGTTCCCCCACCAGCTTCCTGTTTCCTGTCTCTCTGCTCTGCCTCAGTGTCCTTTAAGCACAGATTCGGGTGTACGATTTTCACAGCACATTCAGAAGTCACTCTTTGGTGGAAGTCACACCACCTCCGCACCCTCCATCTGCCCTCTTGCTTTCTCTGTACCTTCCCTGTCCTTCTGTCTTTTCTTCCCACCTCCTACCCGGGGTGGGGACTTGAAAGGGGAGGGGCTGAGCAAGGGGCTGGGGTGCTGCTCCCATAATGCTGCCAGAGCCCCTGGGCTGATCCCTCGGGTATCTCCTTGAGGACCCCCCTTCCCAAGGCTCTGTTCCTGAAGGGGATCCCCCTTGGGCCTGTGGGCTCCATGGACACTGCTGGAAGAGCTGGTTCCTGCCCCCGGTGCTGGTCTAAGGCAGCTGGTCCTCCTGGGCCAGCCCTTGGCCCTCCTCCCTCTTCTGGCTTTGTGAGGCATGGGTGGGGTGCTACTGCCTGGCTCCTCCTTCTTGCTCCCTGAATACCAGCCTCCAGGGCCCTTTCCCATCGGCGTTGGAAGAAGGCCTTGGAAGGCAGCGTTCACAGAGCAGTGAGGGATTCGGGGCTTACTCACAAGGGTTTGTCTCATTTACCTTCTTCAAGTTAAGGATTCAAAAGATAAATTGGGGCTTGGGAAGCTCATGGTGCCTCTCCTAAGTGGTCCAGGAATGTTGTCCTTCAGCTCTAGTCATCTCAGGGGCTTGGTCTGGGGCCCTCTCCCCCTTTCCGCTCTTCCAACTCCCAGCTAAATAGAAAGCCCTCTTTCCGGCAGGGTGATGTTGAAAGTGCCCTGAAAGTGTCCTGACAGTGGCCAAGGGTGTCCATATGGGACGAGTAGCCTGGATCCTGGCCCTCTGCAGGACCTGACCCCTAAGGGTGAGGGGGTCCTCGATCCACCCTCGACCAGCCCCCATCTTCATCTCTGCCTCTCCTCCCTTCCCAGCCTGTCCATTCCCCTGTGTCCCTTGGTCCCAATGAAAATTAAAGCCATTTAAAGTGGGCAACACAGTGCCTGGTGCCATGCAGGCCCTCAATAAACATTTGCTGAACACATGAAAGAACTGAGCTAAATGCAAGCTGTCTTTTGTGATTTGAAATCTAGGGAGGTGGCTTAGGACACATACCACCGAACGGCAGACACAGGACTCCGATTTACTGGTTGTCAAACCCCACGATCAGGTGATCAGGCTTAGGTGAGCCCGGGTATGGTCATTTGCCTGTTGGCTCCCATGGGGCGGCTGGGCAGCCTCAGCATCTCTCCTCTGTCAGGGAAACGATCTCTTGTTCCATGGCTCTGGGTTGCGCCAGGACGCTGTTTGTTTTCTTTTTTGGATATGGGATGGGGAAGGGCAGTTGCAAACCTTCCGTCCCATCTATTCCATAGGTCCTTTGGAAAGTGAGCCTCCTTCCCCGGTTCTTGCCAGACTGCAGCTCTGGCTTCATGTGGGTCTCCTGCTTTCCTCTGAATGAATCACTGGGGTCAGCGGGACGTAAGGCTGCCGCTGGCCAGGCCCGAATCGTCTCTCTCCTGGAAGCCAGGGCATGCGGTGCTGAGAGTGAGGGAGTGTGGTTCTCAAGAGGACAATCAGGTCCTGGTAGCAGGGTCCCAGAAGCCAGGTAACCTGAAACGACAGAGGTCCCCTGTAATGTGGCCCTTGCCATCTCCAGCAGCTTCATTCCCTGGCATCAGCTTAGGGTCAGAGGGCTCTGGATTTCAACTTTCAGCTGTTGCATCTGAGCTCTGTAGTCTTGGACAAGCCCCTTGACTCCTGTGAACGGCAGTCCCTCCCCTGTGACATGAGGATGATACAGCATCACTTTGAAGCTCTGAGCTCAGGGCTCCCGCATGGTGGTTTCTCACTTGGTGCACACTCGGCCAAGCCCTTTGTGGTTCTGGGGGCGCCGGCATGGCGCAGTAGGTTGGGTGTCCAACTCTTGACTTGTCTCAGGTCATGATCTCAGGGTCCTGGGATCAAGCCCCACGTCGGGCTCCGTGCTCAGTGGGGTGTTTGCTTCTCCCTCTCCCTCTGCCCTTCCCCCACTCTCTCTCTCTCTAAAATAAAGAAATAAAATTGTTTAAAAAAGAGTGCCAGATACTGCACTAGAAAACATCAGATCCTATTATTTCACCTCTATAACCCTTCTGTTAGATGGGCTGTAGTATAATTTCCATTTTCCAGACAATGAAACTAAGGTTCTAAAGAGGTCTCTTGGAGCCAGTAAGTGGTGGTGTCCAGCCGACCCCCGCAGCCTCTGTCGTTAAGCCCCTTCTGGTGACAGACACTGGTTTCTGTGCAGTAACCCATCGCACAGACATGCGCACCTGTTCATTCGTTACACTGCCACCTGTACGTGTCAGTTGTGTGAAGGACACACGGCGTGTCCTTGATATTCTGCAATCACTCATCCACGCAGTTCGACCTTGTTAGTGTAGCCTCCCCATCCCCCTGCCCTCCACAAGCCCTCCTGCTCCCGGTCACGCGTCCTGTCTCCGCAGTGTTCCTCCTCTTGCCCTCAGACCTGGGTGAAACCACGGCCCTCTGGAGTGCCCCCCCTCCACTTCTGGCTGCAGGCAGGGGCCGAGCAGGGGACGTGGCGACATGTTGACTTGGCCTTCGGTGGCTGCCGGGCGGCTCCTGCTCCGCCGCTGGCTGCGGGCTGCACTCCTCTCTCAGCAATGGGCTGCCCATGATACCGTGTCGTGGAGAAATGCTCCTGGTATGGGAAGTCCCGATGTCTGGGTAGGGCTGCTTCCTTCCCAGGATCGGTCCTGGCAGAGGCCCCTGGAGGGCCACACCTCCGAGCCTCGTCCCCTGGTCCCTGGGTTCCCTGGGTTCCCTGGGTTTCACCACCCGGACCTGTCCCTTTCCTCACCCAACGGATGTCACAGGAGGGGCAGCGCCCCTTCCTGCTCACCTACCTCCCCGCTGACCGCCCTGAGGCCCCGTAGCCACAAGACGCCCCGTAGCCTAAGACCTTCTCGGGCAACCTAAGCTGCCCTGTATGCCACAGATCTGAAGTAACTTGAAGTGATCGGCTCATCTGTCCTGGGGCCATCTTTCTGGGTGGAAGGGCTAAGACCTCTGGCTTTCTGGACCATTGGTTGCAGACTATGCACCCACTCTGCGCTTCCAGCTTCGGGTCTAGCTCTGGTGTAGACAGAACAGCCGTCTTCTTAGAGCCCCACCGAGGTCTTTGAGGGCCACGTCTGCACGCAGCTCCATTTGTCTTCCATGCTCCATAGTTGGATTGGAATCCTGCGTGTGGTCTGAGCCCCGCAGGGACAGAGTTCTGCTGTGGCTCTCAGTTTTACAGCTATCTGACCCTCACATTGGGTTTTACAGAAGACGTTCATGGAGAAATGGCTTTGGAAATACAAAGTGAAGGCGGTGTCTGTCCTGCACACCCCACCCCTCTGAGGTGCTCTGTGCCATGGCCTCACACCCGTCAGTAGTAGGTCACCGCTTAGTGTCTTGCAGGAGACACACGCCCCTCTGATGGGGTAGGGACCCTGGTCTGCTGACATGTTTGGCAGGGATTTGGATGCAACCCCTGTGTGACTGCAGGTGTTTCAAGGGCAGCTGGGCTTCCTCCGGGACCTGGGCTGACACCTGTTGTGTGATGGCCAGTGCAATGTTGCATGAAACTGGGTCGCGTGCTTCGGGAGCCCCGAACTCTGCTGGGAGAGCAGGAAGGGCTCACAGATGAGGCGATGTGTTGAGGTTGGAGCTGTGAGCGGATGTGGGCAGTGGGAAGGCAAGAGGCTGGAGACGCCGCGGCCACAGGGTGTGCTTTGAAGCTTACGGGTTTGTATCTAGTTCTGTGCTGCTGTTGAGGGTTCTTTCCCCGACTGGGGCTCCCAGACTGCAGAAGCTCCCGGGCCTAGACCTGCCCTGCAGGAGTGCTGTGGCGGAAGGCCTGAGGCAGAGGCAAGGACCAGAGCTTGGGCTTTGTCTTTTCTGTTGGTACCAATGGGTCAATAGGCAGCCAAGCCTGGGAGAGATACATAAAGTTATTTTTGTGTGATGACATTTTTTCCAGTGTAAGTTGTGCTCCTGGCTTTGTGCTAGGTCCTAGGAGTCAAGGAGGACAGTTAGCTAATGAGGAGAGAGGGCCTGAGTGAGCATGAAATGTCTGGACCTTGAGGTGGCTGGGGAATGAGGATGAGGACCTGGGTTAATGCTAGGAGCCCTCCAGGTGAAAAGAAGGAGCTGATGGTGGCACCCAGGTCCCTGGTGTGGGGAGGATGTCTGGCAGCCTCTGTAGAGGTCTGGAGCTCAGGGGAGCTTAGCTGGGCTTTACACATAGCATTTTTACACACCTCGCCATAGCCAAGGGAGTGGACCATACGGCCCAGGAGAGTAGACCATGGGAGTGGACCATACGACCCAGGAGAAAGTGGGAACTGAAAGGAGAACCCATGAAACCCAGCTAGGAAGGAAGGGGTAGAGGAAGGGGTCAGCAAGAGGTCCTGCTACTGCCTTGGTAACTGCATGGGTGTGTGGGGGGTGGGGACCAGGCCAGGCCTCAGTGGCTGAAGAGTTACGAGGTAGTGAGGCAGTACCACAGTCAGATGTTGGTGGAGGAGACGTCCGGGGCATGAAGCCTCGCTGAGCCATCCGGAGGAGATGCTGCCGGCATTCAGGGGTGAGGTACCGTTGGTTAGAGGGTGGATAGCCCAGAAGCCCCCTCTGGGAGGCCAGCGGGTGCTGGGACGTGATTACGCCATGGTTGGGTCCTGGCTCGGGAGGTGGTCAGACAGCCGAGAGAGGTGATGGACAGTGATGGGTGTGCAGAAGAACGCAGAAACTTGGCTGTGAATACTGCTGGGATTCCTGCCCAGGGGGCGATGTGATAGTTCCTTGTCCCCGCAAGAGGAAGGAGAGGAGGAGCAGGCACCTGGGATGTGGGGAACCCTCAGCCACTCCCTGCTGTGTTCTGTGGCCTCGGGAGCGCAGACTTCCTTAGGCTCTTCTAGGCCTCCTGGCCTGTCCAGCATCCCTGGGCATCCTTAGGACAGGCTCTCTCTCTCCACTCCCAGCCAAGTGGAACATGGCACTTCAGGCCCTCATGGCACCCCTGGCACCAGCCGTATCCTCAGGCAGGGGCCCATCTCCTTGCACCCAGCACCCATCTCCTCAGGGGGCTCTTCCTCGGTGCTACTAGAGCCAGCTTACCTCTCTGCCAGACGAGGAGGCTCCAGCATCGGCCAGAAAGATTCTGGAGGCCAGACCCTGCTCTGGGCTCAGAGCACCCACCCTGTTCTCTCTGCCTTCGCAGCTTGGCTGTGGTCCTGCCAACTTGTCACTATGCTTCGGTCACACCCGAGCCTCTAGGCATGCCCACATGAGTCCACTGAAACGTAACCTCTGGGGTAGGCTGGGGAGGGTTCCCTCCTGAGATGCAGGTCCTCAGGCTGGGGTCGCTGTGTGGGGGCCATAGGGGGCCTCTCCCGGCCACTGTCCTCTCAGCATCTTACGCAGCGCTGCCTCCCCCTCCCCCACAGTCAGCCCCCTGGGCACCCACCACCCCCCTGCAATATCCCCTTGGGTGGCCTCCTCCTCTCCCTTCACTGCTGCCCTGCCTTGCCCCAAAGCCCAGGTGGTGCCAGGGAGGCCAGGTGTGGTGGGAACAGAGAGGGGTCTTCTGGTTGGTGCCCATTCCTGAGCCCACCTCAGGTGTCCCCTGGGGGCAGGTGGGGGGGAGGCTTGATCTAGTCTCCTCAAGAGGCTCCGCTGTGGGCCTGAGCCATTGGGAGAGGCAGCAGGGGCAGAGGCTGAGGAGAGGAGCCAGTGGAAGGTGGGGGAAGCTGGGAACTGGAGCGCAGGTTGAGTGGGAGAGGTTGCACTTGCACAGGTGGGACATGGAAAGATGAAGCCACATCAAGAGGAGGAAGGATGCCGAGGGTGCCCCGTGCACTGTGGGATTGGCCCCGGCCAGGGTCTCACGGAGGTGGGCGGGGGTACCCAGAGGAGTGTGCTTAGCCCAACTTAGGCAGGGGCGGGGTGGGGAGGTGGGCTGGCCACTGGAGAGAGGCTGCTCAGACCTCAGAGAGTGTCCCCAAGTGCCAAGGGGCTGCTGAGCACCTGCCACACAGCGTCCCAAGAAAAGCCCGTGGATGGGCACTACTCTTGCCTGGCTTCTCAAACCAGAAAAGCCCCACAGGCAGACCAGGAGCCCACCCAGATGGGCCCGGGTTGGGGCTGCAGCCCCCTCCCCTAGCAGCCCCAAGTGTGCTCCCTCCCACTGCAGCGAGTTCCTCCCCCGCAGGTGTCTGGCCAGGATGTGTCCTTGGCTGCCACACTAGCTCGAGTGGGGCCACGTGCCTGCTGTTGGGCCTGGGCTGCTAACACTCTTTCTCATTGCTCTCTCCCGCCCATCTGCATGTGGCTGCTCTGTCTAGCTGCGCGGTGGTCCTGAGCGCCGGCTGTGTAAGTGAGCATGCCCATCCCATGCCTCTCGCTGTCCATGCGCTGCACCCGGCCACCCTGGTTGCTGCTCTGCTTGGCTTCGTGGGGCTTCCCACCGACAGCCCCCTGAGGCTTCCCCTGGGCATCACCCGGGCTAGGAACGGAGAGGAGGGGGTGGGATAAGGGGGTGGGATAAGGGGGTGGGCTTTCTCCAGAGGTCCTCCCAGGTGGGCCTCCCAGCAAGGCCGTGCTGGAGAGAGAGGGCTGCAGGTCTGGGGGTCCTGTCAGGTGATGTTGGGCAGCGAGGTACCATTTGTGTGTGTGTGTGTGTGTCTGTGCGCTCACATCTTTGCTGCTGCTTCTGTAGCGAGCAGGGCACCGCCATTCCTGCCCCGCTGCTGCATGTCTGTGCCGCGTGTGGGTGCTGCTGCTGAGCCTGCTGCCCTGTGCGGGGAGGCCGTGCCACGGGTGTGGCACTGCCTCGTACCTGGCCTGCACGTGCCGCTGCTCTGCGTGGGCACGAATGCTGCCTGCTGTCTGTCTCTGACTCATGGACTTGGTCAGTCTGTGCAGCCACCAGCTTTTGTCATGACTCAGCCTTCCCCGAAACCCGCCCAGGCGTCTCTGGGTTTCCTCAGGAGAGCAGAGCTATGTAGGAGTGGTGAGGGGTGCTGCCAGAGGCTCCCCGCCCAGGGCCTGGGTGCACTGCAGCGCCTAGAGCCAGGGCCGAGGGTCAGGGGTGGGGCAGCAGCCCTTTGGCGGCAGAGGCCACATTTCCTCCGGTGGGCAGCTCTTGGGGGCCCCCTGGCCTGAAGGGGGCCACGCCACTGGGTTTAGTCTTCACAGCACCCTCCGTTGAGCCCGGGGCCCCCTCTCCCCGTGCAGGGCCCTGGCCTGACCCTGGGGGCCCAACGCAGCGGCGCCCCTCGCCCATCCCTCGCCCCTCACCCCTCGCTGGAGCCCTGGGAGCCCACTGCCTTCCTGTGGCCCCAAGGCTGCGCCCCCTCCGCCCCGCCTGCCCCCGCGTCTCCGGGCGCCCCTCACCTGGCCTTGACCCCCTCTCCCTCCGCAGGCTCTTCAGCAGCCTCGGTGAGCTGAGCACCATCTCAGCGCAGCGCAGCCCCGGGGGCCCGGGCGGCGGGGCCTCGTTCCCGGTGCGGCCCGGCGGCCGCTACCCCGTGGCAAGGCGCGCCCCGAGCCCGGTGAAGCCCGCGTCGCTGGAGCGGGTGGAGGGGCTGGGGGCGGGCGCGGGGGGCGCGGGGCGGCCCTTCGGCCTCACGCCCCCCACCATCCTCAAGTCGTCCAGCCTCTCCATCCCGCACGAGCCCAAGGAGGTGCGCTTCGTGGTGCGCAGCGTGAGCGCGCGCAGCCGCTCGCCCTCGCCGTCGCCGCTGCCCTCGCCCGCGCCCGGCCCCGGCCCCGGGGCGCCCGGCCCGCGCCGGCCCTTCCAGCAGAAGCCGCTGCAGCTCTGGAGCAAGTTCGACGTGGGCGACTGGCTGGAGAGCATCCACCTGGGCGAGCACCGCGACCGCTTCGAGGACCACGAAATCGAGGGCGCGCACCTGCCGGCGCTCACCAAGGACGACTTCGTGGAGCTGGGCGTCACGCGCGTGGGCCACCGCATGAACATCGAGCGCGCGCTCAGGCAGCTGGACGGCAGCTGACGCCCCCCCTCCCCCCCCCCGCGCCCCGGCCGCGCCCTGCCGGCAGGGCCCCCTCCCGCCCCCGCCCCCGCCCCCGGGCCGCGGGCTCGGCCCGCCCCCCCACGGCGCCCGGGCCAGGAATGTTGCATGAATCGTCCTGTTTGCTGTTGCTCGGAGACTTGCCCTGTACATTGCTTAGTGCCCTCCCCGGCCGGCGAGTCCCACCCAGCACACGGTCAGGAAGGGCGAGGGGCCGGCGGCTGGGGCGGGAGAGGGCCGGGGTGGGTGCTCCGGCCTGACCACCTCCGCACAGCGCCTGGCGGCTGCTCTCCCACGTGGGGGGGGGGGGGACCCAGTCCAGCATGCGAGGTCAGGACACACCTTGGTGACTCGGGGGGAGGGGGGAGACTTGGGGTTCTCGGTTGGGGGCCTAGGAGCCCCCCTGTTTTGCATATTTTAATCCACTCTATATTTGGAACGAGAAAAGGAACAAATATCTCTGTCCTTAATAGCTTCCCTTTCCCTCCCCGACAGCCCCCCACCGGTTGCGCTGCTGCTGCCCAGTCTTCCATCTCTGGCCCCTCACTGCCACTGCCACCCCACATGGGGCGGGGGACGCTCCAGCTGGTCTGGGGTTGGCCAGGGTCCTAGTAGCCCGCCAGGCCCGGCTCGGCCCTCTCCCCTCGCTGAGCTCTAGTGTGCCCCACCGACCCTTCAGGTGCTGCGCGGAGGAGGGGCGGCAGGCCGCGAGTCCTGCTGGGCACTAGCTAGGTCAGGTGGCCTGGGAGACCGTTGCCCTGGGGAGGCCAGAGCCCCGGTGGCCACCCCCAGCCGAGTCCCTCACGGGGCCCCTTCTCGGGAGGGGCCTGGCCTCCTCCCCACACTGTCGGGCAACCACAGCAGAGAAGCCTCCCTGCCTCAGACCCCAAAGTCTCCCGTTCCTGCCCTGTGTGTGTGCGCACATGTGCGAGTGTGTGAAACTCTGGGTGCAGCTGAGTGCATCGGGGCCCTGTGTGTGCCTGAGTGGAGCGTGGTCCCCAGAGGCCACTCTGTGTGGGGGCTTCAGCGGTGTGCACAGGGTGCGTGCATGGGTGTGTGCCCGTGAAAGCACCCCATCTCCACTTCCAAAGAAAGAGGCACCCTAGGACCTGCTGTTTGCCCAGCCTGTCCTTGCAGAGCCTCCTCTAGCCTGAGCGGGCCTCCTCGGTGAAGCTCTGCTGCTGGGACAGGCTCCCAAGGGCCCTTGGAGGCAGTGCCCACCCCTGCTTTGGGCTTCTGGGGGGCTCATAGAGGACCCCTAGAGTCAGGCCACCACAAGCCCTGGGGAGAGGCAAAGACCCCAGAGGACACCCCAGCCCCCCTTACTGTGACTCCTCACACTCAGCAATGACCTGTGGGGTGGGGGGCCCTGGGACGTTTTTAAACCTAGGGTTTGGAGTCTGGACTAAGCTCCATCCACGTCACTCACAAGTTTCTGTTTATATTTCTAGCTTTTTTTAATAAAAAAAAAAAAACCCAGAAAACTGAAGTTTTCCCAGCCCAGGGGCCTGGCACGCCGGTCTGTGCCTGCCTGCCCCGCCCTGGCCCGCCGGCCCCACTCCCTGGGCAGAGTCACACCCAGTAACCCCATCACCGACAGACCAGGTCACACACACAGCAGCAGTCACTGTAACAGACTGCCACATACACACTCGGTCTCACACTCACCTGTGGGTTTTTGGTTCCGTTCAATTTGGGTTTTTAACTTTACAGGGTCAGTTGTGCTCCGCCCCTCCTTTTGTATGGAGTTCCATCCAGGGGATTTCACCCCTGCTCCAGTCCTGAGGCCTCCTGACCCTGACGTTGTGATACACCCCACAGAGATCTATGTTTCTTATATTATTATTATTGATAATAATTATTATAATATTATTATGTAATAAATTTATAAGAAATGAAACCTTCTCAGTTGCCTGTTTGAGGAGATACTCGGAACACAGACTGCTGACCCTTGCACAGGGTGACACAGACCTCCTCAGCCTTGACACGAGTACCTGCTGACTCGGGGCCCTGGCCCTGACCCCGTCTCCTTGACCTCCACGTCCACATGCCAGGCTTGCAGCTCTGCCCGAGTGCTCTGGACCTCAACCTGTGCTTCCTGAGCTGCAAGCTTCTGTTCATCAGCTCGCTGCATAGCCCTCCTGAGCTAGAAGTCCAGTTGTGACCCCTGCCCCCCTCCCCCAGGCCCTTTGTTTCGGAATTCTCTAGCTCCTGCCCCTGGAGCCCCTCCCGTCTGCCCCAGCTGTCCTGCCCCCGTGGCTGTGGCCCTTGGTCAGACTTCCCCTCGTGCTCTGAGCTCCCACTCACACGAGCAGCCAAGGAGGTGGCCAGCCTGCTGTGGCACCCGGTGGGGGTGGTCTGTCCACAGGAAGGTCAGGGGCTCCTTGGTGAGTGGGAGAAGGGTTCACAGTGCAGCGAGTGCTGGACGTTGTCCCACAGAGCAGGCCCATGGTGAGGCCTTGGGAGGGCAGCGCCTGCAGAGCCGGGCCCCACCGGCTCAAGGTGGGGCGCAGAGGCGACGGTGATAAATGTGGACTTGGACCGGGGTTATCACCGGGTCACGGCGGGGCCAGCAGGAGACGCCACCAGGGAGGCGTGAAGATTCCAGAGGGAGCGAAGCAGGTGGCAGGGAGGCCGACTCCGACTGCAGGTGCGGGCCGGTGGAGGTGCTTTGAGGCAGCACGTGCGGGTCTGGATGGGCTGGTAAGGACTGGAGAAGGCCCTGCCGAGCTTGGATCTTGAGGGGCTGGCAGCGTATCTAGAGAGCCCCACAATTTCAAATTTCCCACTTTTTCAAATTTTTAATTTTCACTTTTAAGTTAGAAGCTGTAGTCATCGTATAGAAGAGGCCGTGAAGGAAGTCAGAGAGAACGGGCTGGCGGCGGCGGGGTGTCGAAGTGTAGGTAGGGGTGGGGGTGGGACCCCGACTCGCCCTGGGCCTGCGCCTCTGTGGGGTAGGGGCTGGGGTCCTCGGAGCTGCACGCGGAGCTCTGGGTCTCTCTGGGCCTGGGTCAGTTTTCCACAGAAGGAAGGAAGAGGCAGCAAACCTTCCGTGGAAATGGCACTGCCACCCCAAGAGGTTTGGGGGAGGTGAGTCAGAATCTTCACCACCTGTGAGAGGACACAGCAGAGGACCCCACAGGTTCAGTGCTGGGGGAGTTGCAGCCCCAGACGCTGTGGGGCCAAGGTCTCCTCATGGCCTCAGGATGTCTTCTGGGGGCCCCTAGGCAACTCACCGGCACTCTTCCTGGCTGCAGTGCACTCGCCTCCCTCAGCCCAGGCACCCCTGCCCGAGGACCTGTGGACACCTTGGTGTCCGCTCTGCAGAGGACGTCCCTGGGGAACCTGAGGGGGCTAGGGATCCAGATGCGGGATCACGTTGTGGGGGCAGGGTAGGGGCTCGGAGGCAAGGAGCAGGAAGCAGGCTGGGGTAAGCCTGAGGACATGAGAGTGGGAATGCAGGAGGGCAGGGAGGGAGGGAGGTGGAAGGGGCTGGGGCTGGGGAACCCATCATCTGGGGAGCTGGGAGCCCTAGCTTGGCCGGAGTCAAGCCCCCGGTAGCCATTGGGACCACGTCCTCTGGCCCCAGGGTCCTGTCTGGTACCCTCCTCTCTCCCCTGTGCTTTGGAACAGAGTGTAGAAGCCAAATGACGTCACTCATTTCAGATGTTTGCTTCCTCCATTAGGGTTAATGACAAAATTAACCTGGGTGGGCCACGTGCCTATCCCTCCAGCCATTCCTGTGGCCATGGGGCAGGTGCTGTGACTGGTGGCCCCTTCTAGAATCAGAAGTGAGTGTTACTCTGTGAAGTCACACAGTAGTTGTCTTCTAGAATCTAGACCTTGGGTTTTCAACTTTGTTATGAGTGACTCTAAGTGTTTTGAAAAACCATGTACTACTTTTCGTCTTGAAGTTTATGACTAACATCTTCATCATGTTTAAATACTTGCCAAGGTTGTGATTTCTGGAAAAGTGTACATATTGGCATCAAAATAAATGTTTACATCATTCTGCTAAATGATTCTCATGGACCTAAATACCATATCAATTTTGTGCCCATCAGAATCCTGTAAAAACTCCTGAATAGGTGTTTTCTTACACAATCAAAACTCTAAGGGTTCCATCTTGAATTCCTGTTGTCGTTTCTTGAAGTGTGATTCCAGCCTTTTTGGTTACCTTAGCAGGCACAAAATGACCCTCGGTTAAGATATGTGAGGACTCCTAACACTCAGGTTGGTGAAATAGGACTTCCTGAACTTCAGGTGGAGGAGGGGAGACCACCTGACATGCAGGTAGCAGCGATAAAAATCTTGTGACACACGGGTGACGTTGTCGAGGCCCAATTACAGTCATCCAGGGGAAACACAACTTGTTGCTTGGCGGGAATGTAAATAATACATATTAAAACTTGAGGGAGTTAAATCATCCTGCTTTGTCGCTCCTTGCTGAACAAAGATGTTCTGGCCCAGTGTTAGAAGGCAGAGGAGGGACAATAAATATTCCCACACTGAGAAGGCACCTTGCGCCAGGGAAACCAGGCAGGCCACCCGCAGCACTCACACAGGGTTTTATTCAGGTGGGCAGGGCGAGGACCATCCTCAGCAGCTGCCTCGTGATTCTCCGCAAAATCCAGACGGTAGTCCACCAATGTCGCAGAGCGGGGGGACACGCAGAAGGATATGGTGGTGAAGTCCAACGGTTCACGGGCACCTCAAAGGACCTGCGTGCATCTGACAGCTCACCTGTGATTAGATCTCGGACTACCACCCATGTCTCAGCTAGGGAAGGGCCAGGTTATCTCTACTGGATACTTGGGCGGTGAAAACAAGCCTCCCCCATCCCGGGGGGAAATGCCTTGGCAAACATTTCCAAGCTACATGTCAATCTCCAAGGGGCCCCAAGAGGGGTCACTGAGCAGACTCGAACAGCAGCCAGTATTGTACATATTGGCATCAAAATAAGTGTTTACACATCATTCTGCTAAATGATTCTCATGGACCTAAATACCATATCAATTTTGTGCCCATCAGAATCCTGTAAAAACTCCTGAATAGGTGTTTTCTTATACAGTCAAAACTCTAATGGTTCCATCTTGAATTCCTGTTGTCGTTTCTTGAAGTGTGATTCCAAAGCCTTTTTGGTACCTTAGCAGGCAGCCAGTCAGTACTCCCACACCCTGTAATAGGAGAGGCCAGGTCTTCTGACCCGCAAGGACAGTAGATTTGGGGACAGTCGTGTAGAGGAGATGAGAGGTCCGACAATTCAGTGGAAGAGATGGAAACACCTGATCTGCAGGTAGGGACCATAAGACCTTGTCACACTCAAATAGGGGAGAGGAGACCCCTCGGTCATGAAGAGAGAAGAGATGGAGGCTCCAGATCTAGCAGAAGACATGAGAGACCGGATCTCCTGACACTCAGGGAGAGCACGGAAGACCCGGTTATACTCAAATGGGAGATAGGAGATTTCATTACCCTCGGGTAGGGGAGATGCGACCCCAAGACCCCCAGCAGTGAGACGGAAACCACAGTCAGACACTTAGCCAGTAAAGGAGACCGTGTGATATTCAGGTAGAGATGCTAAAAGCTCATACTTTTAGGTGGGGGAGGGAGGCTTCCTGGCTCCTCAGTATGGCTGATGAAATCGCGGTGCACTACGTGAGATGCACCTCCTGGCCTTCAGGTAGGGGGTAGAAGACTCTGGGTTCTCGGGTAGAGAAGACACCCCAAAGTGACACTCAGGTGGTAGAGATGAGGCCTTCGGCCTGGAGATGGGAGCAAACACATCCTCATGTGCAGGAATAGGAGTCGATAGCTCCTGAGACTCAGGTGCAGATATGCAAGATCTATTGGATATTCATCTGGGGGGGATGTGACCTCCCGAAAGTTACGTGAGATGAGCACTAAGACATTCAGTCAGATGGGATCCCTGGGTGGCTCAGTGGTTTAGCGCTGCCTTCGGCCCAGGGCCTGACCCTGGAGACCCAGGATCGAGTCCTGTGTCGGGCTCCCTGCATGGAACCTGCTTCTCCCTCTGTGTCTCTGCCTCTCTCTCTCTCTCTCTGTGTGTGTGTGTCTCTCATGAATAAATGAATAAAATCTTAAAAAAGAAAAAAGACATTCAGTCAGAAGAGAGGTAGAAGAATAAAGGTCATCTGACAATCTGACATCTTAACACTCAGAAAGAAGCTATGAGGGGTCCTGACACGCAGGTGGGGGAGGGGACAAGCTCTTCACACTCCGATGGCTTGGTGCAGAGCTTACACTCAGGGAGAGGAGGGGAGATCGCCCTCCATGCGGTGGAGACATGATGTCCTCACTCTTGCAGGAGTTGCAACTTTGTAACATGCAGGTGTGTGAGGTGAGCGTTTGTCATCCTCCTGTAGGCGGGGTGCTGTCTCCTGATAGATAGAAGTGAAACCTCAGGGTACTTAGGCAACTGTGTTGGGAGTTCCTAACACTCAAGTATAAGAGACACACGTTGCTGCACGTCTGTCCTGGAGAGCAGACCTGGAGGCACTCAGGTGGGAAACACCAGAGCTTGCGATACTCAGCAGTGAGTAGAAAGGTTAAAGTGGCTCTTCGAGAAGCGTGCTGACAACACGTACTTGTGAGAGGGAAAGACAATTTGCTCCATACATGGATAAGGATCGATTAACCTGACGAGCCTGATGCCCTGTAGCCGCCACATGCTGCACTGTCTTGACACAGGACATAGCTGCCCCTCAATCCAGGCTGTGGAGCAGAAACTGTGGGTACAGCGTGCCCAAGGGACAGACCCTGAACCTGCCCCGGACTAGAACCTCAGACGATACAGGACCTTAGAAGGGTCCCGGGGAATGAAGATCCTGGCCTTGGGATGGAGGGAGGGGGCTGGACATGAGTCCCCATCACCCCAGGGGTGGGGGAAGCCTGTACCAAAAGCAGGAAACTTGTTTGAGTGTGAACCGGTTAGCTAAAAAGTCCTGCCTGGCCTGAGACTGGGGGTGGGGGGAGGAGGTGGGAGGTGGCCCTGCTGATTGGTCAGGAGGCCGCAGAGCTTTATGAGGTCACTCGGCTTCCAGGCCAGGCTGGGGCAGGAGTATGGTGGAGATGCTGCCAACTGCCATTCTGCTGGTCTTGGCGGTGTCTGTGGTTGCCAAAGATAACGCCACGTGTGAGTAAGTGTCCGGGGCTCCTCAGGGGTTGGGGAGAGTGTGTTCTGAGCAGCAAGGCCCACCCAGACTCCCTCTGTCCAGGGCACGAGAGGAGGCCAAGCTTGACCCTTGGGACTCCCCTGGCTTTCCCCCAGTGTCACCCGCATCCCACCTCAGGCCACCCTGCTCCCAGTTTCCCCCAGGCCTGACCCTGGGCTCCGATGCCTCCTGCAGCACAGACACTGGGGCCCTTTCCTCACCCAGAGACTGACCCCACTGCCTCAAGCATCGAGTCCTAATTTTTAGGAGCCCCTTTGTTCCCACAGACCCCGAGGTGCCCCTACCTATGGCTGACCCCCAAGGCTCCAGGGTGTTGTCACGGCATTCCTGAAGGATCCCTTCTCCACCTTAGGCTCCAGCAGCCCCCAAGATACCCCCGAAACTATTGTGGCCTCCCCCCAGCTCCTGGAGCTTCCACCCCTGGGCCCCCAGTGCTCCCCACAGCTGGGGCTACTGGACCTACCTTGACAGGTCCCCTCCTCCTGCCACCCTCCAAGCCCACCGTGCACAGCAGGGGGGCCCTGGGGCTGTTCCCTGAGTCCCCCACCATCACACCTGTCTAGCCCCCCTGTGCCCCCCCATACCCCCCCCCGTGCCCCCTGCTTCCCACGGTCCCTCTTTCCCCGCCTGTGGCCATATCCACCAGCCCCACGACCCCAAGCTCCTGGGCCGTTCCCGGAGCCGCAGCCTCTGGCCTGGCTCCCCCCCTGCCCCCCGTGCTCCCCCGTGCCCCCCCCCGTGCCCTCTGACCCGGCCATCTCTCCTCAGTGGCCCCTGTGGGCTGCGGTTCAGGCACAGCACGCAGGGGGGCGGCCGCATCATCGGAGGGCAGGACGCGGTGATCGGGGCCTGGCCCTGGATGGTCAGCCTCCAGGTCTTCACCTCCCACAACAACCGGAGGTACCACGCGTGCGGAGGCACCTTGCTGAACTCCCACTGGCTGCTCACTGCCGCTCACTGCTTCGTCTCCAAAAAGTAGGTGTGCGAGGGTGTGCAGGGGTCTGGGGGCCCCGGAGGGTGGGCGTGCAGGGTGCCGCGTGGGGCCTTGGGGTGGGCCTTGGGGGGGCTGGGGTCCCGGGGCCCCTGGCTGAGCGCCGCCTGCCCGGCCTCCGCCCGCAGGAAAGTGTACGACTGGAGACTGGTTTTTGGCGCAAGGGAGATCGTGTATGGGAATGATAAGCCCGCGAAGCCGCCCCAGCAGGAAAGATACGTGGAGAAAATCATCATCCACGAGAGCTACATCCCCAGTCTGGAGTACAACGACATCGCGCTCATGAAGATCACGCCGCCCGTTCCGTGCGGGCAGTTCATTGGCCCCGGCTGCCTGCCCCAGTTCAGGGCGGGCCCACCTAGGGTGCCCCAGGGCTGCTGGGTGGCTGGCTGGGGGTTCTTGAAGGAGAAAGGTGAGTGCTGGGGGACGCTCACGGGGCGCTGCGGGGCACCTCTCCGTGGTCTCCGCAGTGGGGGCGAGATGTGAGGCCCAGCGGAGTGCGGGCAGTAGGGTCCCAACACTGGGCCCTGTCATAGGGGACACACTGGCAGCTGCGTCCCCTGCCCAGGGCCTCACGACCACGGACCTGTGGGTCGCTGGAGGGAGGGCCGAGCGCAGGCACAGGAGGACCTGGCGCTTTGGGAATGGGGTCTGGGCTGTGTCTGTACCTGGGGCCAGGAGCCCCGCTGCTACACTGCCTAAACGGGGGATCGTAGCCTGAAATGGTACTTGGCCAGCTCCTCCTAGGCCGTCCCGCCGCATGGGAGGTCGAGTGCGAGGCCGAGTGGGGGGCCGTGAGAGCCGGGAGCCCAGCCCGCCCGGCCCGGGCACCCTTGGGGCTCACACCTCCAGAATCCGCCCTCCTCCTTTCCTCCATAGTGGGCGTTGGGGGTGGCGTTTCTGGAAGGTCAGCAGTGGGCAGCGACAGGGCAGGTGGGGTAGGCCTCTCAACCTTCCTCAGGTGGCCACGTGGGCTTCTTCTCCCATCAGCTTGGGGGTGTGAGGAGACCCTGGAAGTGCTTCCGTCCTTTGCTAATGGAAAACTGGGGGCTCCTGATTCAAGTCATTTGGGGTCAAAACTTAGTCTTTTCTGGTGACAAAACCCTGGTAGAGTCAGGATGCATCCTGTGACTCTTCCTCCTCTCTGCCCGTCCCTCAGGGAAGGGCTCCCCCCTCCCCCCGGGCACCCTTGTTTTCACTGGCCTCTGCTGGCCCTTCCCTCCCTGGCCCGGGGTGTACCCTCTGGCTGGCTGTCGGTGTCCATGGCTCTGCTGTGGCCTCTAGAGCGTTCTTCTTGTCCCACCCCAGCCCACCCTGCTCTGCCCACCCACCCAAACATGGGCACAGTGTTTCGGGGTTCTTGCAGTCCCTCGGGGGCTGATCTCAGGGCTCCCATCTACACTTCCACCGCTACCATCACCTTTGCTATCCTGTCACTCAAAAGGATTGTAGGCTCCCAGCGACACCCTGGACACCATGCAAGTCCTTTTTTGTTCTAGAATCCTCCTCAACTTAATGGAATGTCTGCCAGGTTTTAGTGAACACATCCTCCACCGCTAAGGCCAAGTCTCAGATCTTCTGTGATGTTCCTTCTCCATTTCCTCTCTCTACCTCCTCCTCGAGCCCATGTGCTTCGGGGCTCGGAGAGCACTTCTGGGGTGGTCCTCCTCCTTTCCTACAGAATTTCCAGTTCTTGTAGACGTCATAGCGTCTGTCATTTAGAGCCAATGGGTTGGGATTGAGAAAACCCTGTTCTCCTTCAGGTCCTCTGGCTCTTAACATAGATCTAAAAGGTCACCTCGAGTGACCAGTCTTGTTTTGGCAGCAATTTCAATGTCACCCCTGTCTCGGGCAGTGCAAGTACAAAACTAACTGCTTTGAGGGGTACGGAAAGCTGAGCTGAAGGGACTGAGACACAGTCAAGGCCGCCCAGACGGGTCCTGGTTTCCTGCTTGCCCCACATCTCTACGTTGCAAGTCTGGTCTGCCACCTCCCCATGCAGATGCAGGGATGTCAGGGCCACCCGCCAGGCTGCGGCTGGGCTGTGGGTGCTGCTGTACTGGGGCTCCTCTGTCTGAGGGAGCCGCTGGATGAAGAGGGGAGAGCCGTGCCCTTTCCGGGGCTCTGTCCAAGCCAGGTGAAGGGTTGGCTGATGGAGGCAGAGCCTGCGCTGGCCCTTTCTTAACCCATAGGTCGTGATGGAACGTCCGGGGCTGTAAAGGAAGGTCTGACTTGGCTTCAGGTCATTCCAGCCACCCAAGCCCCTGACAGGTCTGTGTGGAGGCAATCCTGCACTTCCTCCCTTTCTATGATCCCAGAACAGATGGGAGGCACACAGGGAGGGACTCACTCATCCCGCTCCAGAGGATCCTGTCCGCTGCTGAGCAGAGGGTGACTCACAGCCGTGCTATGGGGGAATGAAATGTGTATCCTCTATTTGAGTGTAGACAGGAGACCGTTGGTCCGAATCCAGAATCCCAGCCACACTACATCCCTACCAGGATGTTTGGATGAGTGGTTCTCCAAGTTCATGATTGTGGGAAAGGCGAGTCATGGGGCTCAACACAGGAGGTCACTGTGGGGTGTAAACGGGGTGACACATCCTGGCCGTAACTGTGAATACACATCTGGCATCAACACACATCCCTTCACATTGACACACGGCTGCATCTGTGTGTCCTCCGTGCACTGCCCCTGCACGTTCCTCCACCCCCGCCCCATGTCCTTCAGAAGCATATGAGGAGAGGCCAGGGGCATTGACTTCCATGGATTTTAGGTTTAATTAGAGTGTTTCAGGATGACAGGGGTTCTGTGGAGGGAGGAGGCAGGGCTTCCCAGAACGCGCCTTCTGTGACCGCTGACCACTGAGCTGCCTGGCTGTAGCCTACAGGATCGCACCTACACTGCAGGAGGCACGCGTGAACCTCATTGACCTCGACTTATGTAACTCCACCCAGTGGTACAACGGGCGCATTCGTTCAACCAACGTGTGTGCAGGCTACCCTGAAGGCAAGATCGACACCTGCCAGGTAACTTCCCTTTGGGTGCCCTCCTCCTTGAACACCACTGCCTCCAGGGCCCTGCTTCAGTGACCCTTTCCCTGGTCCCATCTTGTAGAATGAGGATGGGAGGTGACATCTGCTGCCCCTACAAAGGACTAATCACCATGCTGAGAGCCTTTATCCCGTCATAACACAGAGACCATAGCACCCAAACACCACCCTTGAAGACATGCTCACCTCTCCTCACCAGAATACAAAAATTTTACATCCACTTGCACGTACATGCCTTTGGATGCATGAGCCACGCACCTGGGCCCATGGGTCGCTTGTCTTCCCCCTCACTGCGAGGAGACCCATGACAGTCCATTCCCTTCTCACATCCCAACTGAAGCTGTTGATACCAACTCAAAGTTTACCACTACTACTTGTGTTCATGGCAGCAGGAAGCCATGTGACTACAGAAACTGTCCTTCCAGACCCTATGGCCCTTCTGGACAGGGGAAAAGTGGCTCGGACAGAGAGTGACTTCTGTGTCCTTCTGGGCAGGGGGACAGCGGCGGGCCTCTCATGTGCAGAGACAACGTGGCAAACACCTATGTGGTCGTGGGAATCACAAGCTGGGGGGTAGGCTGTGCCCGAGCTAAGCGCCCCGGAGTCTACACGGCCACCTGGCCCTATCTGAACTGGATTGCTTCCAAGATTGGTTCTAATGCCTTGCACATGGCTCAACTGGCCACCCCTCCCCATCCTAGTACTCAAGCACCCCCGGCTAGACCCCCCTCTGCCCAGTCTCCTGCTCACCCTCCTTGGTACTTCCAACGCCCTCCTCGACCGCCTCCTGCCAGTCCGCCATCTCAACCTCGACCTCGACCCAAACCCCCAGCTGCACCCCCACCTCCACCTCCACCCCCACCCCCACCTGCACCCCCATCTATCACTAAACCTCTCCAAGTACTTTCTTTTGCCAAGCGACTACAGCAACTCATAGAGATCTTGAAGGGGAAGACCTTTTCTAGCGCAAAGGGGTATTATGAAATGGAGACCACAGATCTCCCAGAACTGACCGCTGCCTCCTGATCCAACCCCACTCCCAACAGACCCAGTGAGCCCCTCACTCCCAAGAAAACAAAGATGGAATAAATAAATATAAATATAAATACAAATATAAATATAAATATATATATATATATATGAAGAGATGCTTTCTGGACTTCTTCCTACCTGCCCTGCCCAATTGAATCCAAACCCTCCCCCAGCAAATGTGTCCTTCCTCTGTCACCCTCCAACGAGGTGGAGTTGCTTGTATGTCAATGGCAATGTGGTGTCCTAAATTTTCATTTTTAAAGTTGGAACAAGGTCATCTGGGGCAGCAGGCCGGGTATGGTCTGTACACTCGGAGTCTCTGCATATTAAATCAGTGGGGGTGGGCCCTGGAAACACCTGTGAGGTGAGCTGATGCAGAAGGGGAGGGTGTGGATCTGAGTCCACTCGAAGAATGACCCCAGTGTGAAGTTTTGTAGCATGGCCATCCAATGATCAGTCCACGTGGCTGACCCCAGGCAGGAATCTGCCCCAACCAGAATTGCTCATGTCCATTTGTAACTTCCTGGGAAAGAGGTCTCGATGGGCTCAGGGCATGGATCAAATCTTAGCCACTTGAGGATTAAAGATGGCAGGCTCCAGAAAGAAGACCCCTGCCCCCCGCCCCCACTCCTGGCTGGGCAGTTACCTGCTCACTGTTTGCATGTGTTTCAAGTGCAAGGTGGTCCTTTGTTCTGGTTGCAAAGACAGGTGGCGGAAGGTGCAGGAGCATGAGGAAGAACTCTGGGTGAGGAAGACCAAGGAGCCTGTCCTTTTCCTGCTGGGGCTGGTGAAGCAGCCATGACTGTCCGTTTTTGGGATTCATCAGTCTGTCAGGGTTCAAACAAACCCTCTGCTTTGCCCCTCATCAGCTATTCGGCCTTGGGAATATGGCCAGAGGGTTGTGTGACAATGAAATTAGGACAGATGTGCAGGATTCAGAGCAGAGCATGACATGCTGTAAACGCTTATAGATGTGGGCTGTAATTTAGATCCAATTGGTGATGAGATGCTGGGTAACCTTATACTTATGCAGGGGTGCCCTGGTGTACACCATCTGTGCACTTCTGACCCCTGAAATGCTTAGGCCACCTAGGAGGGCTTGCAAACTGATCTGGGTGGCCCATAGCTCTGTAGTGTAGCAACACTGGATTCAATTAAAAAAAAAAACAAAACAAATTTTATCTGCTTTGGGTAAGAGCTGGCATTGCTAAGATTAGAGTTGGCAGGTCCATTATTCCTTTTTTGGCTTTGGTCTTTCTCTTCTAAAGCCAGTTTCTTCATCTCCCTATTGGGTATATAAGCTTTGTACCCTGGTGTCAGACACTAGTTATCCTCTAAACACCGAACAAAACTCCGTGTCAGTCACAGAGTGAGATAGAAACCAAGCTGTAGGCCACATGGTCCAAAGAGCAGAAACTCAGGATCTGCCCTCACACTTCCTGGGAAGTCTTGAGCCCTGAGCTTCGCAGGTGGGAATGGTGGTACAAGGTGTGCTCAGGCCACAGAGTAAGGGTGGGTGGAGCTTTAGGACCAGTGGTTTCTTTCCACCTGCGGGTCATCCCTCCTCTTCAGAGTGTCCCAGGATCCGGAACAGATTCTCCTGGCAACTCTCTCTCCTTTCACATGCTCCAATCCTTGTCCTTAGTTTTTCCCTTCTCTCCTTGTTGGGCCTCTCATCTGTTTCTGGCACGTGGGTCTCCTTGTTGGAGAGACAGGGCTTGTGCTCAGGGAACACTGATGGGAGGCCATGGATGGGGTGGAGCCTGCAGAATCCAAGTGATGGTTTCCTGTGTATTTTCTGGAAACTTTCCATGCTCACGAATGTATTTATATATAATCTAATCCCTTTCTTAGTTACTCACTGTTCATACTACTCTGACTTCCTTTTTTACTTAGCAAATTAGAGATATTTTCATGTTGGCACATAGGGACCCACCTTCTCTAAGTCATGTTGTGCAGCAGGGGTACTTATGAGATATAGTGTCACATTTTCCTCCTGGGTGGGACCCTCTAGCCACCTGCTTTAGCCCTCTCTCGGGATGCCTATTCCCCATGTATAAGCCAAATTCACTGCTCTTTGCAAAACTAGTAGATGTTCTAATTTTCACTTTTAAAATTACGAATGAAGTCATTGACAAGTGAAGTGAGTCTCTCTGATCTGCCTTCATGTCCCTGTGGATATTCTAACCCTGAAAATGGCTTACAGCTTCTGGAACACACAAGACAGGAAGGGCAGGGGGAGGTGGACAGGCTGTGCAGTGAGCCAGAACCAAAGGGCATCTAGGAAACTGAGGGATCTGCTCACTATTTCCTTGTGGGCTGGTTTAGGCAAATGATAAATATTCTTTTAAAAAATAGAATTCATAATGAATTTTATTGTTAGGAATAGTAACAAAGTGATTTGACAGTGGCTAAACCTGTACACATGGTAAAAGCTGATTCCTGAGCATGTGTGTAGGCACAAGTCCTAATTGTGAATTTGATCAGTATATGAAGTCTTATATTTGCAAGGAAAAAACTGATCCTAATGAATATAATTTTAGTACATTTTAAATGGAAGTGGAAAAATGGAGGTAGCTCATCCTTAATGTGTAAAACAGTGATCCAGAAAGGGAAATGAGTCCAATGGGGTTTTCTGCAGGAACTATATTCTTGGTAAAGAATCATCGTGACCTGCTTTTGGTGACTATAGTTGGTTCTGCGCACTTCTCCTGGGTGAATACTCAGGTAGTGGAATGGCTGGGTTATTTGGCAGCTGTGAGTTCTGACAAATGATTGCACCCAGAAAACCAGCACCACAAGCACTATCGTGCACCCGCGCATCACTCCGAAGGCCTCCTTGTGGCACTCTGTAATCCCTCCAGCCTCCTTCCCTCCCCGGCCCCAGCAACCTCTGATCTGTGTCTCTCACTGTATTCATTGACATTAAAAAAAAATCTTGTAATAAATGCAATCATACAGCTTCTTTCATTCAGCATGATCATTTTGAGATTTACCCATGTGCCCACGAGTTCTGGTGTTCTATGCCTTGTCACCGCTGAGCATTCCACAGTCTTGTCTGCACCACAAGCTGTTTCTCTCCAACAGGTGATGGACTTCCTTGTTTATAGTTTGGGGCCATTACAAGTAAAGCAGCTACAAGCGTCTGAACACAAGTCTTTGTAGGAGCATATGCTTTCATATCTCCTGGCTGAGCACCTACATGCAGGGTCATATGGTGGGTGCATGGTGAGCACTTTTTAAAACTGTCAAAATGTGGTTTCAACACTCTACATCAGCATTTTCTGAGAGCTCCAGTTCTTCTAGCTCCTTACCAACACTTGGTGTGCTCAGTCTTTTCAATTTTTAAAAGATTTTACTTATTTATTTATTAGAGAGAGAGAGAGAGAGAGAGAGAGAGAGCATAAGCAGGGGCAGAGGGAGAGGGAGAAGCAGACTTCTCGCTGAGCAGAGAGCCCAATGCAGGGCTCCATCTGAGGACCCTGGGATCATGACCTGAGCTGAAGGCAGAGGCTCAACACACTGAGCCACCAGGTGCTCCAAATTTTAGCCATTCTTATAGGTGTGTAGGAATGTGAGTTTTTTCCCCTACAAATGTAGTTTATAAATAAATTCAAAGAATTCTAAATTAATATAGTTGAGGTTTATCAGTGAGATAATAGGGCAGTAACTTTTGACAGCAAAATGTGGGAGGGCACCTAGGGAAAGGAGGAGGTAGAGAGAAAAAGGCATAAAATTCATCCAAACAGAATTTGGATTTTTTCAAGCATCACAAACATCAGTGGGAAACATCTGAAAGACATACCGATAGCAACAGTCTTAGGACAATTTCTCCATTAAGCTAGGTCTATCCCATATAAAGATATTCCAAAGTACCCAAACTCCCAGAGCATCTCTGTCTGCTGAAGTTAGTACTCCTAAATAGCAACACTTTTATATTTAAAACAACATCCTCATGGTGTGTGGCTGGCTCAGTAGAGTGTGTGACTCTTGATCTCGGTGTCCTGAGTTCAAGCCCCATGTTGTGTTGTAGAGATTACTTTTAAAAAAGATACTACTGGGGATCCCTGGGTGGCGCAGTGGTTTAGCGCTTGCCTTTGGCCCAGGGCGTGATCCTGGAGACCCGGGATCGAATCCCACGTCGGACTCCCGGTGCATGGACCTGCTTCTCCCTCTGCCTGTGTCTCTGCCTCTCTCTCTCTCTCTCTCTCTCTCTCTCTCTCTCTCTCTCTCTCTCTCTGACTATCATAAATAAATAAAAATTAAAAAAGGAAAAACTATCCTCTAAAAACATTAACTTTAAAAAAAAAAAGATACTACTGCCCCCCCCCCCCATGAACACAAGTCAACAATTTGCCTACTATTCAGTTTATCTCTCACTTTTAGGGTGATGAAAGGTTTGCCCTTCACAGGAAGGATCCTGTGCCACCACATTAACCTTTATATGATTCGTGTATTTCCAATGTATGCTTTGATCCTGCCCCATGAATCCTTCCTTCTCAAAGCTCTAGAAAATCTTAGTTTTGTCTGCATGCTCAATGAGAATTCATTCATTTCTGTGATAGTTTCATAAAGAAGAAGAGAAACAATGCAGAGCCCAGGGGTGGGACCTACCGGCCAGCACTGGTATCTCTCCTGCTGGCTTGAGCAATCACTGAATTGACCTTGGGAGGCAAATGTGCGCCACCATGCCAAAATCATGCTAAATATCATGCTGAGATAGATTTGGGAGTATGGCTAGGGTCAAATGATTCTTCAAGCTATATATGTCAGGAATATTTATGAAATTTGTAAATTTTGGGGTTTTAAGTTTCTGAGATAAGAATCCAAACTTCAGTAACTTTCCACCTTGATTTTTTTGTTTTTTTTAATAAATTAATTTTTTATTGGTGTTCAATTTACCAACATACAGAATAACAACCAGTGCTCATCCCGACAAGTGTCCCCCTCAGTGCCTGTCACCCACTCACCCCCACCCCCCGCCCTCCTCCCTT